CCGGACAAATTTCAGCATTCTGATTGGAATCTGTGCTGTATCTGAGAAAATCTTAAGGGGAATGTTTGTGCGGACAACTTTTCGCTGGAGAGTTCGGGGTCGATGATCTGCGATGGTGATTAACTCACGTAGCCGGTGCCTGCGATAACGACGTCGACGCTTTAGGGGATATCAAAGTCGATGACGACCTTGATAAGCGTCGACAATGTAGAGGTGATCCTCAAAATGTTGTGTTACATAGACACTGACACGATCATGCTGCTCTTTTTGTACTTCTCCTGCATACAGATTTTACGTAAATCTAAATGCGATACACAGAGAAAGAAATCTCTTTGGATTTAATGAAATTTCTTCAATTGTAAGAAATTTGTCTTCTGAGGAAATCGGTGAGATTTATGTATCAATTAAATATTTAGCTGACAGCTACAGATGTCAATTTTGCAATTTTTAATCGTAAAGGAATAGGACGAATCTTAAGAGACCTCATTGGACATAATATATATATATATCCTCCATAATAATTTAATAATTTACCGCTACGAATTACAATTAGACTCTTAAGGCCCTTTCTATTTCTTTATTGTCAAAAAATGAGTCTTAATCATCAGTTTAGTCTTTCAATCATTAGTCTTAATTATCAGTTAAATCAGGAATAGATATTCTCATACATAAGCAAGAATATTAATCTTCTTAGAAGATTTTCAGCCTTGCATTGAGCTCAAGTGATACTTGCGTCAATATAAATTCAATCGAATCAAGATTGAAAGTCCTCTAAGAAGATTATAACATTCCTGCTTATACATGAGAACATCTATTCACGATTTAAGACTTTTTCTCCGTGTATAAATCTTCAAATTTGCAATCGTTCTTACCGCATCTTCCGCAACACCCCAGCCCAGTTTCGCACGTACGTTCACCGTGCAGACACTTGTAATTCGGCGCAGCCGACACGTCGTAAACTTCCCAGGAAGAAATCCGTATTTCGCTGGCAAAAAATTGCCAGGTACGGCATCCTTTAACGCGACGGAACGTGAAACGAGATTGAGGATTCCATCGGAGCGATCGTGTGTCGCGCGCATTGCGTAATGCCTTGCGCCAAAGAGAGACCGAGAGGCGGAAAGCTGCAATTAGTTGCCTCAATTTCCGTTTCGTTTAATCGTATCGGCAGGCGGACGCGTGGGCGACGCGAGGGGAAATATCGCCGAACGAATTACCGGCCGGTTATTAACGTCGGTACGTTCAGAACGCCGTTGCGAAATTGTAGACACAAAAGAGTTCACGGAAACACGAGCGCCGCAACCTCTCGAATTAATCGCCCCGCGATGCGCGGATTTCCGCGGCCGAGCTCGCGCGAGGGTGCTTTTGAGCGTCGTATCGACGATCTCGAACTCGCTCTCTCCCTCTCTCTCTCTCTCTCTTACGCGCTCGCGATCAAGAAACGCTCCGAAGAGGGTAGTCATTAAATCGGTCGGAGAAAGGACGACAAAACCTCAGTCGCACAATGGCCTTCGCGACGAGCCCTATATAGAGACGCGTCGGAGTTCGGAGGAAGACTCATCCTCGGCGAGCAGAAGGGAAAGCGATAACAAACCGTCCATTCAATGCCGGTGGCTTCTGGGACAAGACTCTGAGAACGCCATCATCGAAATAGAGGGTATCTCGAGTCGGTGGAACGGACACCGACACGTTCATACTTGGACGCGACAGGATCCACGATTTCTCGTATACAGGGTGGCTCGTGTGAAACGCGAGAATCCGCGCCGGTGTCGGATCGCCCGGCCGATTTCGCCCCGAAAATCGCGCTCAAGACTATCGTTTTCCACGACAGTCATCGGAATCGTGCGCGATTCTCACGTGAGCTCGGAAAAAGCACCCGGGTCTCTCTTCCGAAGAGGGGAATTCATAAATGAAAAGCGCGGTAGAGCCGGGTAATTAAAGTTTAATATTGGGTCGAACGGAATTATCTTTTCCCGGCGATCTTATACCGCTATTGTATGCAACTTACGTATTATTTTATAATACCGGTATTATAACATTTCGGTATATAATTTCGGTATCGATGTATGCGTGTGTGTGTATGTGTGTTGCGGACTTCCAAATGTATATACGAAATTAATACAATGTTAATACCGATGTCTACAGATTTCGATGCGATGTAATCGGTATAATATCGCTGTTATCGCACCGTCACGTTATAAAATTACGTCAAATTACGACACTATAGTAGATTCAGCGTGAAATGAATGAGACGAGCAAACTTTCCCCAAGTTTTACGTTCCGATTAGAAAACCTTCCGAACTTACGCATGTTATTTTTTTTGTATTCCTTTGCAAAATATGCATCGTAATTGCATTATAAATTTGAACACTGATATTTATATTCAACAGCGCAATATCGGTATATATTTGACGCTCCATACCGGTATATTTTATCGATACTATGCAAAATTGTACGATATCGCGGTATTGGATGGGTCGAAAATATTGTTATTAAACGGAAATTTGTGTAATACCGGTATTTACGCAAATCGGGTTTTCTTTTGATCGTCGTTTAATATCAAAAAGTGGAAATGCGAAAGCGGCATTTTTGCTACCGGTTTCAATCTCTGCTATTTAACGTGCGCATCGTGTCTTCTCGGCGAGAATTGCTCGTGCGTTTCTCAAGAAGGATTCGACGATCTCGCAAACATTTCCCCGACGATCTTTCCGGGATCTGTTTTCCCGTGCTCTCGACTGATGCGGATGTGTAACTCGGGCGACTTTTAAGGACATCGAAGGATCGTCGATGAAACGAGAGTTTTCGCTCCGCGATAAATCCATAGTGTAATTAGACCCTTATTACGGAGCCTTATTAATTGTTAAAAGAATGCCGAGCGAAAGAATACAGTATCTACGGTGCGGTATTTCATTTCCATATCCGCCGATACACCCCGTATAATCGGCTGTACTATTTGTGCAATGCGAAAGGAGATTCAGCTCGGGAGCGAATACCGTTTAATGCTTTCAAGCCCCCTCTTCTTCGAGCGAGCTTTGACTTTCAGATACGAAGCGCGAGCAGGTGCCCCCTCGATTAAATCTCTGCCGATAATCGGCGCTTAAGCTATCGTAATATCGTTGGAAACGCGGCGAACGGATCGTTATGTCTCTATCGAACGCGCGTTCGGCGCGGCATCACGCCTGATAATTGTTTCAGATAATTCGAACAACTCTCCTCGCGTTTTATTACATCGGCGCACGGTCGTCGGGATCCGCTCAATTCGTTCGGCTTAAAGGCCGGATTACACCAGCGATTTGCCGATTGAATTGCGACTGGCGATCGGCGATTATTTTTCAACTAATCGGAGGCAAAGCAGCCGCCGATTGAGATTGGTGAGTGCGATTTAGACAACGCTTTATTTTATAATCGTCAATCGGCAATCGGGAAAACGCCGGTATGATTTGGCCTTAACGCTTGACACGATTCCGATTTTACGGATAGTTATACGGAGAGAATGGTGTGGTAGAAATTAATAAAGAATTCTGTAACCGAGAAGCATATCGACATTCCGTCTGAGCTTATTATTCCGTACGTTTCATGTGTGCCGTCTATACGTTAGAAACTCAGCGAAATCTATCATTAGAAAATTGGGTGGACATGCATCGCCACGAAAAATCAATATCTCGAAATTCGGAAAACCGGAGCAATTTCCCGGAAAGTCTGTTAAATAGACTGTCGATAGAATTTATTTTGCTATGAAACAGCAAAGTTTTGATAGACGCGCATTGTTTCGGAGAAAAATATTTCGCAATACAAACAGGGAGACATTTTCCCGAGAATCGTGACGCCAAAATACGAATATCTGAGACAATCTGTCCCAGAATGTAATCCTAAAATGCAATTTTCCCAAAATATAATCGTTCCGAGGGAGAACTGTTATGAAAAAGAACCGAAAATAGCACACATAGTATACTATTAATATCTAAAATCTCAAATAAACAATTGCGAAGAATTTTATATAAAAAAAGACGTAACATTTTCTCCGTGTACTCTCAAAATTTCTTGGAACTTCTTAGGATCAAAAAGAGGGGAAATTCACTCAAAGGGACAGTAAAAATACTGTTACGCGGAATTACAAAAGCGAATGTTTCATTTGAGCTTAAATTGAACTCTGACCACATACGAATGAATGTTTTAATTAATCAGAGTTAATTTGTTTCGGTGATAGGGCGGAAAACGTCAGATTTACTTTTCAGTTTCAAGCAATGACGATCGCTCGACGCGATTCAGGGTGAAAAATTCATTTCACACGAATGAAAGATCACACGAATCCAAGTGACTCCGATTGTCACTCTATTGTTCGAGTGAAATTTCACTCCGAGAAATTCAGCGAGTATTCTCCGAATTCCTCGAAGTGAAATTTCGCTCAAAATAGGTAATAACATTCACTCGACTGTACTCCGCGAGTAAAAGTTTTACCTTCAGAAATTTATAGAATAGAGAAGGTGAGATTTATTTAAGGTAAACGTGATTTTTTCCGCGGCGATGCAAAGTTTATCTTCCTTTCTTCGCGGGTAGAATCGCGTATTTTGGAATATCACCGACATTATTGTATTTTAGCCTCGAGTTTTATCGTCCCTATAGAAACTTCAATATATTTCTGTCTCGGCATCCAAGCTTTGTGAGGGGAACAAAGGATATAAATGCACATCGAGTAATGCGCCCGAAACGGCATTATTTGCATTCTAGCTGAATTCACCGCTATTGTGCTTCGCGTTAATTTTATTATTTTTACAATTATCCGTTGAATTCACCGCGGATTCTTGCAATTAGTCGTAGATGATATCTCGATCAAGAGATCGCGACGTTCGCGACGTTCGCCAATCGGTGTTAATGATATCGTACAAGTGTTAACTGTATCATACGCGATATTACGCGATCAACTGTCGGGAGATGTAAAGTGAGAAAATACAGCGATGAGAGCGATCGATATTCGTCGGTGATAAAAACGAAACCGAGGGCGATTACGAGACGGATCCGACGGTTGGCTGATTTTCAATTACCGACGTCGCCCCGTCGCAGATTGTCGCCTTTCCTTCGTGACAGCAAATGAACTCCGCGCTCTCCAAGCCGGTGAACGTCCAAGGCGCCGTCATATCGCACGCCTTCGCGTACACGGCTATCTGCAAAAGTGAATATAGTTTTGAAAGCTCGGAAGAACTCGGTTTTTCCAATTTTCCGCGGATTTCTTCGGTTTCTCTCCCGAGAGAGGGAAAATTCCGTTTAGAAACATTCACGTCCGGTTAAAATCCGCCACGTTTATTTTTCTCCGCGAAGAAGATAAGAAATCGCAAAAATCCGCAGAAAAATCGGAAGAAACTGGTTTCTTCCGAGCCTCCGAAGCGACAAAAATGAGGCGAATTGAATTTTCCAAATTAAAAATCGCTTCCAACTCGGACCGGGTGAATTTTCCGATGCGCCCTCTCGACGCGCTGATCGCGCTTTTCATTCGGATCACGTCAGTTAATGAGTGCTGCATCAAAATTCGCGCACATGCTCAGCTTCAATTATATTCACTTCCTCGTGTCATTTGCACAAATTTACTTCCATACAACAACTACGTCGGCGAGTATTCGTTTACTGCTATAATTATTTTTCAGCTTGATAAAAATCAAACGTGTCGCTCACCTTTAAATTCTCGACGTGCGCGTTCAATTTCTCGCAAATCAACGTCGGCGCCTTGTCCCGGGCGTTTTCAGCCTAAGCAACAAAAAGGCATCAGCTTCGATGTTACCCGTTTATTTCCCGATTAGCTTCTAACGATTATTTCCGATGAGAGCGAAATGATGTTGAGAAGAAGTAATGCGAGAGATTTAAAATGGAAATAATAAATAATATTAGGGCAATGTGAAGAAGTATATATATATATATATATATATATATATATATATACCAAGGCGATGCACAGTCGCTCGCACTTTTCGATGCCTTCTCGATCGCAACTCATGTTGTACTGAAGCGTATATTCCATTATCGGTTCCGTTCTCGAAACATCGAACGCCGCACAACTGCACGGACCCTCGGCAGCCTCCTTCTGCCTTAAAGAAAATATTCCTCATGACACTCTGTTATTTAATGACAGAGAATTTTTAGAACCAGAGCCGCGCAGGGTGACGGTTGCAAATAATTATTTCCGGAGATTATTTACAGTCGAGCGAACGTTCACTTATTCGGGGTGAAATTTCACTTCGAGAAATGTATGGAGCACTCTTTGAATTTTTTCGGAATGTAATTTCACTCGAATAGGGTGACACTCGAATCACTCGGATTCGTGTGATTTTTCGCTCGTGTAAGGTGAATCTTTCACTCTGAATCGTCGAGTGAATTATCCCGTGAAATCGAAAAGTAAATCTGACCTTTCCTACCCCCGTCACAGGAACAAATTAACTCTGATTGATCGGAACGTTCGTTCGTATGGTGTCAGAATCTAATCTAATTTAAGCTCGAGTGAAATATTCACTTTTGTAATTCCGAGTACCAGTATTTTCATTGTCGCTTTGAGTTAATTTTTGCCCTTTCCGAGTGAAACTTAGAGAGTACACGGAGAGAATATTATATAGTGTCTTTTTTATATAAAATCCTTTTGAATTTTTCATATTTTCTAGTTTTATTTAATTGCTTTTATATTTCCTGGTAATGCGAGAATAGGCTGCCAGCAGAATTTATTTCGTTAAGGGGCAATTATTTCTACAGACGGATAATAATGTCGATTCTTTTCTCGAGTTATTTTCTTTTAAAAACGGACACACGATAAATACGTTTTCAAATTCGGTCTCGATTTAAGCCACTCAACGTGAGCCCTGAACCCTGAATTCCGAACACGAATTTTTAAATAAACTTCTTAAATTTCTTGGAGTGAAATTTCACTCAAAACGTAGAGCGACAACTGAGTCACTCGAATTCGAGTGACTTTTCCCTCGTATATAGTGACTTTTCCACCCTGAATCATCGAGCGAATACCATCGCTCGAAATTGCAAAATAAACCTGATGTTTGTCACCGAAGCGTCACAGAAGCAAATTCGCACTAATCTGAAACATTCCCCCGGATCAGAATGCACTCTGAGCTCGAATGAAACCTTCACTCTGACGATTCCGACCGATAACATTTACACTGTCACTCAAAACGAGTGAAAATCCACTCGTCTCGTGACTGAGTCACGAAGACGTCAAGTTTTCGCCCGAGAGACAAACTTGGAGAGCAAGATCAATTCTACGAGTCCCAGAATCTGCTCTTTTGCCGCTCGAATTGCGAATATAATATATTCAGCGAGTCACCGTCTTACATCGCGAGAGGCAGGATCGCCATCAGGATTACAAGACCTCTCATCGCACCTCAACTGCATACCTCGTGTAACGAACGTATTTTACCGCGAGTGTCGCGGACGATCGAACAGTGAGTCTCATATATAGACTCGCGGCCGTCGCTCGTGTAGTACGTGCGAGCAAACGCAATGGAACGCGTAATCACGCGATACCATTGTTAATCGCGGTATCCTCTTGGCGGTTCGAATTTTACACCGATGTCCAAGCGACGTTCCCACAGAGATAATCACTGTCTCGCTGTAACTCGAGAATATATCGAACTCGCATGTATGCATGCGGCATGTGCGTACGTCGCAATGAGTGTTGTGCACGTGCGTGTATGTGTGTGCGTGTAAGAGCTATATAACAAATATACATGATATTTCCATTAATGCATGCAGACGCGCATCAACATTTAACGTGCTTTTCCATCCGGTGCTTCTTTGTAATATTCTGTTATTTAATCACGAAGGACTTTTAGAGGCGAACCACACGCGCAGGCCATGGTTGCGAATGATTATTTCTATGGGCAGATAATGTCGACGAAAGATCGCGAGTGTCGAGAAATCCTCGGTCTTTCGAACTGTATTGATTCCACCACTTATAAATTATGAGAATTCGAGGAGATATCGGAGTTGATAATAGTTTAAAGAACAACGCCGAGATGCACAGGGTTGATTCGCGATATACATAGTAAAAGATTTTATTAAATTTTAAAGTTAAAAGCATATTATGTCGACCCGAGGTGAATCTGTTAATTTAATGTTATATTAGTGTACTTTTTAATACATTTCCTGGGTTAAAGTAACACGAAATTTTGGTAGACGGTTTTCAACGCGAAATTTTTTATTCCGTAAGACGGTGGCTACCCAGCAAACACAAATATATAACAGTTGTCACAATATAACGAAATGTAATATAACGCAGACGTTGCAAGCAACATACATGTTAGCTGTAATTTCCCACTCGTACAAAGTTGCAGTTGCGCAACGTATATAAGACATAATATGTTACTGAAATATTATATGACCGTTATATAGGTTATTAAAAAAATTACATAACGGTTATATAGATTGCTGAAATATGTTATACAACTGGAATATAAATTATACATTTTCTTGCAACTAAGTATATGATTGTTTGCGACGGTTACAAACTATCAAATATCAGTTAATTCGCAAAAATATGTTTCTAAAGATGCAGTAATTATTTTATGTTAAAAGCGATACTTAGCGTAGTAATGTAAAATATCTCGCCATTCTCCAAATTGATCTCTCAGCTATTACAATTTATTTACTTCCATCATCATCAATAATATTTTCGCGGGAGAGATTGTTATTAATGACAGTAATTATTGTTAATCCAAAAATGGTACTTTATTAGGATAGACGTCACGATACAAGTTTCGCCGTATCATCAATCATTGTTCTTATGCACATTAACATATTTTACATACGAAAATGAATGCTATCTAACGAACGTCCTGCCATTATTGATATGAAGTTTTCATCGAAACATCAACATTTTTTAACAACAAGACCGTGTTTCGTTGTTTCAACGAATCTTTCCCGGCTGGAATATATTTGTATGACCGAAAAATTTTTCGGAACATATAATACGCTGTTTCTTATTTCTCTTCTCACAGAAACAATTATTCATAACTATTATCCTGCGTTGTTGTTGTAGAATTTAAAAATGTTTTGATGATTGAATATCTGAAGATTAATGATAATTATTCTATTATTTACCTTTGAACAATATTTTCTTATTTGAGAAACGAGTTCAACAGCTTTTGATCCTTCCTCTTTTCTATTTTATTTTTCTCAGGAAAATGCAGACAATGCTTCAAAATCGTTGATGCATTTTTCAGATAAATTAAATAACTATATATCGATAAATCCGGTGAAATTGAAACTCGTGCTGAAAATAGCGTGAAACCTCAATTTGTTTGTTTTAGCAAATTTATTAAAAAAGAAAGAGAATTTATTTGGAGAAATTTTGCCTAGGAAAGAGTGTAAAATTCTTTTAAAATTATATTTAAAATTACAATAGTATTTGTTATCTTAATATGGACTTACCACTTGACTACATCATTTATAAATTGCATTCATTATACATTATAAATTGTATAAATTATATTGTAATATTGATAATTTTTAATAAGACAAACATATTATTCAGTCATACTATTTTAAAGTAAAGGATTCTGTTTTATTACTGAGTCGTATTACAATCTGATTTCTCATTAAAAATAGTGGCGGCTCGTAGCGGAGTTTTTGGAACTACATTTTTAATAATACCCGATTTGTGCGCTAATGGACTGCTTGGTGCCATCTAGCGGCGTTATAGGGAATCAATACGCTTAATAGCTTTGAAGCTCGGCCGTTACGAGACGCTACTGTCGTTGATGAAAATTTGAGGTTGTATGATTTACAAAAATCTATTAAAGTTCTTGCGTGCAAATTGAAATAATATATTAGAAATAAAAGAAGCAGGTGAGAAGAAAGTTGTGATACTTTCGACTCGAGAGAGATATTTGTAAACAAAAAGTTATGTCACTTTGAATTTAATCTAACCTAACTTTCTAATATTTATTTATCCAAACGCAGGTATCCATCATAAAAAAAAAGGAATAATGATGAGTTCTATAATTTGTCGACTTTTCCATTTTTCAAGAAGCTCCGTAATACCGATTCAATGCACGATACAAACAAGAAATTATGCTGTGCTAGGTAAAATACTTTTATTATGTCAGTTAACAAATTTCCATCCAAATAAACATCAAGTATCAATATCATTATTTCAATATAATACTTTTCTATTTAACAATATAAGTTCAATATAAAATATATCGTATATAACATTTATATATCGTCGAGAGTACGAAATCATATTGATATAATGTTGCTGCTATACTTGATGTTTACTAGATTGTTGTTCAAAAAGACAGTTAGATGGTAAGAGATATATATATAAGGCGGAACTATATATTCAATATTCACCTTTATTCGTTGATCCTGTTGAAAGTGCGCTTAATTCTAAATTACTATTTTAAGACTTATAATAATAACCGTTAATAATAAAAATTCTTCCTTTTCGTAACAAAATGCAGGATCGAAGAAGACGGTAAAGAAGCCGTTGTTGGTCTCGACGGAGAAGAAGGAATTACCTGTAGAAACGGATGCTCACAGGCTTCAGACTCATGTATGCGGCACAAACCTGTTGAAGGAAGGAGGAGAAGATGTTGAGATAAAGCCAGACTCAGAATACCCGAGTTGGCTGTGGACTATCAGAACTGGTCCCCCTCCGCCTTTGGAAGAAATGGACCCAAATACGAAGCAATACTGGAAAAGGTTGCGAGTACTCGCATTAAGGAGAAACAACAAAATCCAATCAACCAAGCCATTTTAACTCATGTAAAAGTATATAGAGTAATGTTAAGATGCGTTTATACATGCATTATTGTTTTGTATCATAAGTGAGGAATGAAAAATTGAAAATCAAGGTCGTGTTACGTCTCGTTTATTTGTGCGGCTGATATCAAATTTTGTGACGATCGTGAGCTTGTGTACTGCTCATCGCCGCAATCGAACGAGACGTGAGCAAGATTACGATTAGAATGACTCAACTGAAAACCAATTAAAGCGCTCGGCTCGTGGTATGTACTGAAAGGGATAAGCATCTTAACTAAATAAACGAGTTTGCTTGGCTGTAATCAGCGGAATACATCTATCCTTAATGATAAATCGGGCGTTGTCTCACACCACCTATAAGGAAGTAGGCGACTATCGTCTTTACTATCGTAATTCCCGGCGATTTAGTTTATTTGCTTGCACTCTCCGGGATCTTTGTTGCGGCAAGATATAAAGGTTGCACCAATAGACTCATTTGAGCGTTCACGCACGGAGCGGTCCGCGCGAAAATATTCGTTGTGATCGGTAGACGACCCTCAACCGTGTGAAAAGCGTCATCGAGATTCGCCGAAAGTGAGAAAACGACTCTGGCAGTAGGCACGATCGAAGGTAATCGATAAAACGTAAAGATAATCAATAATTTATTTCTATGAAATACTGATTGCACGTATATTTCTGGCCACACTCTCCGTCTCTGTTTCGATTTTCGTAAGCCAAACGCGATCGATCGCTGGTCTCACTGATGCCCGTTTCTACCTTCATCATGGTTTGAATCCAATCGTCGATTAATTCAACGGAATTAATCAATCGCATTGGTCAGTTGAACTGATCAATCAATTACGCCTATTTGTACCATCTTGATTTAAATCTAATCGGCAATTAACTGAACGGAATTGACTAATCGCATTCGCCAGTTGAACTGATCAATGCTATTAAATTCCGTGAAGATAATAGTTTGTTAAATTTAAATCATGATGATAGAAACGGGCACTAATCAACTTCGTTGAATTAATCGTCGATTAGATTTAAACCATAACAGTAGAAATGGACGTGAGAAGATTACCACAGCACAAGACATTAAAATCTAGAAGTTAGAATTTATTTGAATATCCGTAGCTAGCGAGATTAGAAAGTAACACGTTACTTGTAATGCCGTTACTGTCACAAATTGTCTTTCTTTTCAGTAATGATTTGATAACGACTTTATATTTTTTTCGTAACGCATCCTGATGGAAATATTTTGCTGAAAGTGCCACGAAATCGATGGAAAGTGAAGTGAAAGTTATTGAAAAATTATCAGAGTTGAGAAGTAACACGTTACTTGTAACTCTGTTACAGTTACTTTTTTTAGTAAATGATTTGGTAACGACGGTTTTCATTCGTAACGGTAACGGTAACGCATTATGTTTTTTGGATAACGGTAACGAATAATAATCATTACTTTTATCGTTATTTCGCACACGTACAATACATATGTATATGAAACGAGCAGAAGCGAATTCTAAAAAAGAAGGTTCTCAAAACTCGATGAAATTGTAACGATTACTTCTTAAATAATGATAACGGTAACGAGTTGCTTTTTTCAATGAGTAACGAATAACGGTGAGGAATTACTTTTCAAAAGTAACTTCCCCCACCCTGGAAATTACTGAATATATATAAAAATGAATCATAATTTCCCTTGTGAAATGTACAAGGAAAGTTAAAGTATACTCTTGGAAAGTAATAAAAAAATTTTGAAATATTAAGTATCATAAAATTTGTCAAATATAACTGAAAAGGGCGTGATTTTTAAAGAAAAATTGCTGAAATATCGATTAAAGTAATTTTTTACTGAAACATTGATGAAATGATAATGAAATGGGATCAACTGAAAGGGACTTTCAAATTTCGGTAAATTTTCAACATTATATTTTCAGTATAATATTTCCATCGGGACAGTTATATTTTTTGGCTGACGAATGTAATTGTTACTTTGCACATTATACTTCATATATATGGGACAGGCACAAGCAAATCCTAAGAAAAAGTCTCGAAGCTTAGTAACAAAGTAACAAAAATTGTAACTACTCGTTAACTTATCGTTACTTCTTAACTTATCGTTACTTCTTCTAAGTAATAAAAATTATAACTACTCGTTATTTCTAAACTTATCGTTACTTCTCCTAGGTAACGATAACGATAACGAGTTACTTTTCAAAAGTAACTTTTTCAACCGTGTTTCTGCCCACATTCTCTGTCTTCCTTTCGATTTCGATTTTCATTCATAGGCCGAACACGCGATCGATTGATCGATCGTTGATCTTGCCGAGAAGATTAAGACAGCTCAAGACAATTAAATCTGAGAAGTTAGAATCTACCTAGATCTAAAGTTTTAGATGCTTTCTCATTATGCAGATTCACACTGACCGAATTATACTGATGTGTGTGAATAATATCCACAATTTGCTTAACAATGTGTCAAGTAAAACATTAATTGCGGCTACTTGTTCACGCGACTTCTCATGTGCGCGACTAATGTGACATTTGTTCGTAATTATACATTTCTCCCAACATTGTTATACCAATTGTGCATTGTTACTCAACAATGCCTCGCACTTGTGGCATGTTTACTCGCGCGTAATGCAGCAAATGTGAAAAAAAACAGAAGAAAAGCATAAAATAACATTAAATCTCTCTCTTTCACCCTCCTTGACTTTGGATCAAAAATATGGTATAAATATCGCATTAAAATCCCTTGTTTTGCATTATTATAATCGCGGTAATAGCAGATCTTCGGAGGAGTATGCTCGAGCAATCGATCATTTCGCAACAATGTTACACAACGTGAGAAACGCAGTACTTGCATTAATGACACGTACGTTCGAGTCAAGTTTACGGGTTAATTATAGAATCAACTGTTCAAAGAAAAGTCGAAAATTGAGAAAGAACGAAAAAACAAATTATTTTATGACGCCCACTGCACCTGCACGTCCTTATGCAATGGCGATAACAATATGTATTCGCGTGAATTAATTAATTTATCGCTTATTAAGCGAGCAAATGACAATTGCGCCGCTCTTGGCGAGGTATATATAAGCCGAGGCGGTGAGTGAAATTTCGGTATTGTTTCGGTCGAATAACGCCAAAGGAATCGTTCAGAAGGTGAGGACGCCTTACTTGGTCTATCCTAACGATCGGTCGACACTCATCGCGTGTAAAAATCAATCGGTATTAACAAGAACGACCCGAGAAAAAGTGTCCGTATAATTATACATGAGAAATTTTCTTTCCCGGGGAAAGAATGAAGAAAGAAATATCTGCGTTGAAGAAAAAGAAATTCGATTAATTGCACAGAAGTTACGCACTCGTGTGACTCGTTTAAGTCGGAAACTGGTATTTACAGCTGTTACTTGAAGTTCTCGTCTCATATAAATATTCCAATTTTAATTGAGATTTAATGTTCTTCGGTGGAATAACATCCCAGACAGCGCAATGTCGAAAATTGGGACGTGAGATGTCTTTTAGACCTTTGAAAAATATCTTAAAGACATCTTAAACACGACTTCGAGACGTTTCATGCCCTGATTTTGGACATCTCTGCTGTCTGAGATGTCACTTATAGATATAATTGCGGTCAAATTGAAAAAGTCACGCGTCTAAGTTTTCATATGAATGAACTGAAAGACTCAAATCTAACTCCAAATTCAGACCCGTGAGTGTCTTCTCTCTGAGATGAGTTGCGAGTAACGACTATTAACGCGAACCTAAAATTCCACGAACAAGTGTTCATCTCGCCAAACCGATGAATTTGCAGATGAACCGTTGGCTACTCGTTTTGGCGGCAGTGGCTGCTTTGGCTTCCGCTGCGTCGGCTAATAATGAACGTAAGTACCAATTAATTAGTCAGAGTTCAAGAGAAAAATCACGGCGTTACTTGTAACGCCGTTGCGACCATTACAAGTTACTATCTTTCAGTAACCATTTGATGACGATGTTACATTTTTTCATCGATAACGCAGTTATGATGAAAAACTTTATATTTGTGTTAAAATCGGCCGTGGTTAAAACGTTTCGCGTTAAATGTATAATTCGCATACGCGGGGCGAGCGAAACCTTTCAAAACTCGGTGAGGATGTAACGAAAATCACGACTCGCTGCTTCCGAGTGACGGATTACTTCTTTCAAAGGGCAAAACGAGCAACGGTTAACAAGATACTTTTCAAAGGCAGCAACTTTCCCCATTCGACGTTTCTTTCGCTAGCGGAAAAAGTGTGTGGCATTAACATGGCATTTTTATTCGATCGCAGCGAAGATCGTGTGCTACTTCGGTAGCTGGGCGGTTTACCGGCCAGGGCATGGCAAATTCGAGATCAGCAACATCGAGCCGCACCTTTGCACCCACATAATCTACACCTTCGTCGGGATCACCGAGGACGGCAATGTGAGAGTTTTGGACGCGTGGCAAGATCTGGAGGACAACTGGGGTAAGGCCGCTTTCCGCCGGTTCGTTGAACTTCGCCAGCAGAGCAGCAATACGAAGTTCCTCATCGCCATCGGCGGATGGAACGAGGGATCCGCGAGATACTCCGCTGTAGCCGCCAATCCGACGACCCGTGAGAAATTTGTGAAAAATTCCGTGGAGTTCGTGAAGAAATACAATTTCGATGGTTTCGACTTCGATTGGGAGTACCCGAATCAGCGCGGCGGCAAGCCGGAAGACGTGAATAACTTCTCGATCCTCCTCAAGATGATGAGAGCTGAATTCGACAAGGAAGGACTCCTCCTCACGGCCGCCGTCGCCGCCGCCGAACCTTCCGCCTCTCTGTCCTACAATATCGCCGAAATATCCAAGCACTTGCACTTCATCAACGTGATGAGTTACGATCTCCACGGCTCCTGGGAGAAGCAGACTGGCCACAACGCTCCGCTTTATCCGCGCACGGGCGAGACCGGAAACGATCTTAAGCTCAATGTCGTAAGTACTTCCGGTTCTTTCCGTCGCAACGTTACGTTAGATCACTTTGCTCGGTGTCAACTTGGAAATTTCTCTCACGCGGGACACCCGGGTTTAAATCTCGAGCGGGCTCTCCGCCGAACTTTTGCAACTGAACCGTAATATTATATCTGCAATCGCGAATTTCATTAATACACACAGTTTTCAATGTAATTCGATCAATTTCACGATACCCGATATTTCCAAAATTTCCTACAATTCTCCACTCTTTTCTTCCACCCTTCGGCTTTTCTCAGATTTTCTCCAATTTCCCTACTCTTCCGAATTACACTTCGATTTTCATTATATTTAAAACTCTAACGTCTGGATTCTAAATTCGAGTCTACTTTATTGAGAGACAAGTTTCACGTAGCCGTTGTTAACGCGAGCTTAATTGAATGCAATTCACGCTTGAAGCCAATTTCAGTAGCGACTATATTTATATATTAACATTAATAAATTTATTACTATATCATTGCCAAACTATTGGATATCATTAATGTTGGGGACAAGGAATATTGCGACATGATTGTTCGCTGACAACCGCCTGCTTCCCCGCAGAACGCATCCATCCACTACTGGCTGTCGCAAGGCTGCCCGCCGGAGAAACTGATCCTCGGCGTGCCGTTCTACGGCAGATCGTTCACCCTGGCCGACAAGAGCAGAACCGGACTCGGAGCGCCCACCACTGGACCCGGTACCGCCGGGCAATTCACTCGCGAGGGTGGAATGCTCGGTTACAACGAGATCTGCGAATACTTGAAACAAGGCGGATGGAGCGTCGTTCGTCACCCGGAGCACCGCACTCCGTACGCCTACAAGGACAACCAATGGGTCGGCTACGACGATATAGAGTAAGCGCCATTCAATCTCATTCTCTCGCGTCATCCTCTTCGTCACGCCGGGCGGAGATACGAATTCCGTGGGACTCGGGCGTTACGTGTCGTTCCTTGCTCCGCAGATCTCTCACCGAGAAGATGAAATACATCAAATCCTTGGGTCTCGGCGGCGCGATGATGTGGAGTATCGAGACCGACGACTTCAAGGGCCTGTGCGGCGAGAAATACCCTCTGCTGAAGACACTGAACGCCGGACTGAGAGGAGGAGTCCCGGTACCGCCACCTGTGATCCCCGAGGTTCCCGACAAGCCGGAAGTGAACCCGCCAGAGGTGACGCAGACACCTCCGGTAATGACGGCACCACCTCCACCTCCCAATGGCGTCTGCAAGAAGGAAGGCTACGTGCGAGACGAGCAGGATTGCAGCGTGTTTTACCAGTGCACGAACGTCGGCGGCCAATTGCAAGCGCAGAGGTTCCACTGCGCGAGCGGGCTGGCGTTTGATCCTGCCCACAACGGATGCAATTACAGGGATCGTGTTGCCGGATGTTGATCTAAAAACCGACCGGACGGTGCCGCCCGACGTCGGCTGACGATGATGGCGGCAACGCCTTTCTACACACCCGGCGCAATATAAGAAACAAATATCCCCTCATATTCTGTATTACTTATGTAAATAGCATGGTTAATAAATGTATTTTCTCGTTCGCTCCTGGTAACGAATAATTCTCTCCCTCGGTACGTCTGTGAAGCCGTCTTCTATTCGTAGCTCGGCGGAAACTTAATGTACTCTCTCTCTCTCTCTCTCTCTCTCAACACTGCACGTACTGAGGGTGGTCGCACGATTCTGTGAGCGTGTTGAATATCAGTCCCGACTGACAGTAGAACGCCTTCGGCACCGCGTGATCGTAGTCGCAACGGTAGAACTTGCTGCAGTTGAAGGGATCCCGTAGGTAGCCCCGCTTCATGCAATTCGGCAGAAGGGGCACGGTCGGCGTCTTCGGGAACGCGTGTAACGCCGGGTCCACCGGAGCCAGCTGGTCCATCGGTGATAATTCCTTGGAGTCCATCTCGTGCACTTCGATGAACTTCTTCTGCGTGACGTATGCGCGCGTTACCGCGCCCAACAGGAATAACAAGACCCAACGAAATGTGCACCGCATCTGCAGCAGATTTCGATCGGAAGAATTATCGACGGTTCTCCCCGATGGGAATATCACGCTGAGAATTTCACCGAAATTCTTCCCTCAATCGAGCCCATTTCATCATTCCGTCGATGTGCGCAGTTTCATTTTTTCAGTTAAATTCAGTAAATTTTGGCGATATATTTTAACTTTTTTTGTATTCGAGTATATAGGTGTATTGTGAACTTGATGAACAATGAGATGAAAGTTACGGGGAAATTACTGAAATATGTAATAAGTATCTCAAAATAAATCGTGATCTTCGTCGTGAAAGTCAATGTAATGCCGTGAAATATAATGAAAATTGAAGTATAATTCTGAAAAGTAGTAGAATTTTCGAAATATTAGATCGTGAAATTGTTTAATTATTATATCGTGAAATTTATTGAATTAAATTGAAAACTGTGTATATTAATGAAATGGGATCAATTGAGAGAGTATTTCGACAAAATATTTCCATCAGGGTTCGTCGGCCACAATTATTTAACACTGTAATGTTAGTTATTTATTGGATCAGTTAACACGTTTGCTACCACAGTTTATCAGCGATACTTTCCCTACAGGCTACATTGTGTTTGTTTTCATGTAATTATGTAAGGCAAATTTGGTTTGTGTACAAATTTTGAGTGAAGGTGAATTTGAAGTGGGAGATGTGGGCCCGTGTGACGCTGGTAGCGAACTTGTCAAGAAGTTTGAGCGTTTGACTAAATACAAGATACATAAACCTATTATATATATTCACATATATATCATACAAAAATTAATCAAACTAACAAAAATTAAAAGCTAACTAACGGAAATTTCAACAATCTTTGCCTACTATTTCCGAGATATTTAATTATAAACTTATATAATGAAACCTCATGATGCAAACAATTTTTTATTTTATATATTTGTGTATAAGATAGAAGTTTAGAAAACTATTGTAATAATGAAATAAACTTTCAAACATATTTTAATGAAGTACCAAATAACTTAAAAATTAAATCATAAAGTGAGACATAAATTTACCGTCAGGTTGACTTATTAATATTATTGCAAAATTATTTTTCTAATCATTTTAAACGATTTTATTAATGAAATATTAATTGGTCAGAGAATAACGCTAGAATCTCTTTTTCCGAAAAAATTCAGTTCGACCGTTGAGTGAAATTTAACGAAGTCTCGGCTGACCAAATTCTGCGCGCAGTAACGCAGATGTTTGATTTGCTGCAGATAGATAATATCCGGCAAAGATCAAGATTCGAAGAACTGTACTTACTTTGACTATTTATTTGTTGAAGTGTAAATTTGATGTAAATATGTACGTGTCGCATAAATCGTTTAGGAGTATCCACGTATTATGGTGTGTGACACTGATGTTGTGTGACACTGATGTTTGATCAACTGAGATATTTTCGTCTCGAAAAACTCTTTATATGCGAACAAGCAATCATAGCGATCATAGTGGAAATCTCATTTTCTACTAAGTTGATACACAACGCCACACATCATTCGACGCTATACGTAGAATTTATCATGTATACATAAACAACGTTTATCATGTATGACTTTATCATGTACTATTTCTGCGAACTATGATTTTTATAAAACTCATTTCACTGATCTCTCTCTCTCTCTATCTCTCTCTGCTGATGTAGGTCATGGTCGGATCACATCCACGGTCCATCGTTGCTTCGGAACAGTCTTCAAGAATTGATACAGACACACGTAATTATCTTGGACAAGAAACAAATATGAATTTTTACAAAGTTACATCCTCTCGTAGTTATCTTATTATTGTTTATTTCTTTTTCCTTTTCTTCGAACAAAAGTTAAACGACTGGCTTGTTCAGAAAGCGATGAGATATAAAAAATTCGCAACCGTGAACGACGTGCGGCATTATGTATCAATTAAATGGAAGTGGAATTCCCACTGAAACCGAATATGGTCTCAGGAATGAAGTGAACTTACAGATTTTTCTTTTTGGTTATTCTTATTATTCACGTATACTGAGATACAGCAGGGAATTGTGCGACATAGCTATACTTCTTTTCTGGTTCCCAAGTTTTTGTACGATTGACCTTAACAGGCAAAACATTGACTACATTCGTGGTAAGTTCTACTGGTCTAAGTGATCCAAAGAAATCTGTTACTGGCACTTTATCTGGATCCCTTTTGAACAAATCTCTTCTTACACCCACTGTAGACAGGCAGTAATCTCTTGGGCATACTTTCAACTGGAAGAAAACTGGTATCTTAGAAGAAATGTGGCAGGAAAGATTGAAAGCTAATGTCAAAATCATAAGAATGAGGCACTTACAAATTCACCCAATGTTTTAGTGCTGGATGGTTCCACTTTTTCCAGGAAATTTAATGCATAGTAAGTGTATCGGTCTATGATATAAACACCAATTGCTGGATCCACATGATGCTAAAAAGGATATATATCGATTATTATATAGATATATCACTTGAACGCAGTTACATAACCAAACTATTATCTGATAACTTACAGAAAGAGAATCTTCCCCTACTAAGCTAGAGGCAACCGCTAAGATATTTGGCGAGTAAAATTTCTCATACATTGAACTCGCTTGGCAAGTATCGACTACAAACAAAATCTCATGATATCTCCGCTTCTGCCACATTTGCTCCAAGGCATCTCCCAGTTCTTGACTTGTGATCTCCTCAGAATCTTGGAACTTCAAGAACCCATTACCACCGTGGCCAGTTAAATATATCAGGATATTTGAACCCTCATCTGTCAAGAGTTTCTTTGATCTGGGCGTTTCTTGCGCTAAACGACCGGTCAGTAATCTTACAAAATTTTCAACCGTCACTTCGTAGCCTCTGTAATCGACTTCCACATCGTCGCCGTAAACGTTAATATGTTGCTTGATATTATTGAAGACAGTTGCTGGTCTAGGATTCCTAGGATTACACGCCATATCGTCGGCTATCATGAGAATGATTTGCGAGTCTGGTATGCCCAAGCGCTTGACACTCCGATAAATAGATAAAACGTTCGCGACGTGCCGATAATTAAACCAGAAACGTGACGTGTCGACTAGAACGGCCCAATTATTGGAATGCTCAGTTTTTGCAAAGCTATCTGGTATCTGTAAGATTAACAATTCATTATTTTACATCAATCAATTGGAGTAGGAAAATAGAAAATCAAACGTAAACAGAAGAGAGATACGCACCTCCCATGTGTGACATGTCGCCAAGAGAGAAACCAATATCGACACGCAGGGTGTTAAATGCATCATTTTCTTTACAAACGTTAATTAACATAAATTAATATATATAAGAAATTTATACATGTGTATAAAATGGTAACGCTATTTTCCAACGTATAAATCAACACAGTTGAACCGAACCGGCCATTACGACTAGAATCGAATCAAGCACCTATCGACATAGGAATTGATCGATCCGAAATTTGAAAATATCGGGGAGATAATCGATTTTGAAAAAAAATTCGAGCATCGATACATCGCCCGTCGCTACAGCTGTTCGCATATACAGGATAGGATCCACTTGACGTTGCAAATGCTTCGAAGCGCCGTATGGACCAATCATATTTTATCTTTAAGCGCTTCGAAGTGTTTGCAGCTTCAAGTGGATCGCACCTACAGCCTCGTGGTTCCTAATAATCGAAGGAAAGAGGAAAGAAGCAGTTGGTGGTTCGTTGATCTCCAAATTGTTGCGTCTTATTTCTCCGGTTTTTTTTCAATCGAGGATACGCACAATGAATACGCAGACTTCCTCTACGAAGTTGAAGGAGTTACGCTTGCCAATTTCAAGGGTAAAAACGATCATGAAGAGTTCTCCTTACGTCGACACAGTCGGGCAAGACGGGTTGTTCTTGGTTACGAAAGCTACGGTGAGAGCTGCAGAGACACGTGTGTCTGAAAGAAAAAGGAAAGGAGGCCGATGCGTGTTAAATTGATCATGTGTCGCTTTGATGCGTATTTCACAGGAGCTCTTCATACATTACTTGACAGAGGAGGCACATCTGCAGAGCAACAAGGGGCCTTCTTTGGATTACAAACATCTAGCGGAAGAGGTGCAGACCAACGACGCGTTGGAGTTTCTCCGAGAGATAATGCCCAGGAAGATCACCGTTAGACAGTTCAAAGAAATGATGGCAGCCAAGAACGAGTCCCGCAGTAACTCCTCCGAGAGCAGTTCGGACTCGGACAGCGACAGTGACTCGGACTCAGATTCCTGCTCGGACAGTGACGACACGAAAGGGGGGAATGAAAACTCCTCGGGCAGCGAACAGGAAAGTGAGACTAAGGAAAACGGTAATTCGGTCAGTGACAAAAGTGAAAGCAGTGTTAAGAGTGACAGTGAAGATGACGGTAAGAGATGAGTATCTGGCGGAGATTATCTAATGACGATTATCGAATCGATCTGCGATATTCCCTGAGTGAAAAGTTATCTTTACAGATGTAAAGTATTTATTAACATTGGGAGTCACAATATATCGTCACCTCATAGGTCTCTATCGGTGTATTGATAATAACACAGGATCAAAATTACATTTAGCGATCACTTCGGACCACAAGAGTTCAGCCTTTTCAGGCTGGGAAGTTTTTGAGAAGAGAAACTTTGTGAAAAAGGCGAATTATTATTTTTACAAATGTACAAGCGACCAATATACATCAGTTATATATTCATCATGATATATTTTCCCTCATTATTTATCTTATACACACTATACAATTTATATTAATCGCCCAATAGTGTGAAATAAATAACGTTTACATTATTGTGTTTATACATAAAATGACAGTATAGAACCATGATCGAGATAAAAATAAACAACCGGTATCTTAATCATACCTTAATTATGTTGGTTTGTCTCTTAGTAACAATACATTATGTAAGAATGTCTTATAATGTTGTCAACATTTTTCGTATTATGTACACCATATAAATCTTGTTGATTAGTATTCAATTTTTCGTTTTATCGTACAACATTAAAAATAATCAAATAGCAAACGAGAATTGCACGCTAATCCTGATGCAACTTTTTAGCTTTGGGCGTAGCGAGTGTATCGAAATCGTACTCGTTTAATTTCAGAGCCAGGAAGTAGATCTCAGCGAGTGCTATAATTAGTCCACAAATTATACCTAAAAGTAATCGAAATCCAAAATCTAAGTTCCCAATTACGAGTTCCACTCCGATGAATCCGAAAGCGAAGCCAGCTATCACGGAAAATACAAACTGCGCAACGGCGATGAGTTGTCTGTTTATTTGCTTCACTGCAGAAGAAAATCCGTATTACGCGGGAGAAGAGATAGAAAATAACCAATAATATATTTACGGAGCGGGGAAAATATATTCGCCTTACTTTGGTACGAAATGCTGTCCTCGGGTAAGAATTTCCGTGCGGAATCGATGCTCTTCGTCATCGCTTGATACTCCCTGGCGTTTTGTTGCGCCTTTAACTTCTGTATTCTAGCCTCCAACTCTGGATTCCTCGGTGTGACCTCTGGCGACGGCAGTATCACGTCAGAATCGTCAAAAAGCTCGTGCATGTAAACTTTCTCGGTTGCACTTTTTCTGTATTCCGCTAAATATCTGCTCAGCCACCTGAGATCCTCGATTTTTAACGTAACACTCGCGATCTCCCTCTTAGATTTCTTAGACGCTTCGATTAAAGATACGACGCCAATCGGCGCATCATTTGCGTCTCTTGCGTTCTTGGTGATAAAATCTATCAGTTTTACAGATGGCTTTATTCTCACGGCAGCGTCCACAATTGACTCCAGCGGCATATTTGTGCGATTCCTCTGTAAGCTTTTCCAAAGAAAATTTCACTAATCAGATTAATGCTAGGAAAAGATGTAGTCGAATACTGAGAAACCGATTTCAAAATGTGTCGCCCTATGCTGTGATGTGCAATTTCTTCTCCAAGTCAACATAGAACTCCTGTATTTCGTTTTCTTTCTCTTGGAAGGTTCGATCCACCTTCTGACACTTATCACTCATATCATTCACAAATTTCTCCCACTCGTTTCTCCTGATCAATCTGTTGCCGTTCAAAGCGCTGTCCTGTGAACAAGAAACATAATATCTGGCTGTCAACACATCACAGACTAGTATTCTTTTCTCCAGAACTAGGTGAAATTTGAAAGTGGATAAAAAAAAAAGACTCAAACTTTATCTCAAAGCCTATTGGTTGTGAGAAATCGGTGGAAATGCAGAAATACGTGTGGATGGATCTGTTAATAGCACTTAAAACTTAATCTTTAAGCATAAGATGTGATTGTTAATATTTACACTGTCGAAATCTTCTTCTCTCTGCAAAACACGATTACACATGCTCAGCGCAACGTCCACGTTGGCCTTCAGACTAGGCAAATGGCAATCCCCAAGTTGCTCCGTGCGATCCAATTGGCTCTCTTTCAATTCCGTCGCATATTCGAGTATCTTAAAAAGACGTTCCACCTCTCTATCGTTCCTCTTGTCCTGAAACGGTACGTTCGCACGTTAAAGTCCGCATTTCGTTCCAGACGTTTTCGATCGCAAGATCTGGATCTAGTTTTATCCGAGCGTTGATGCTGAGCAAACGACAGCTTCGAGACACAACGTCATCACGAGGATGACGATCATCGCTCACCTGAAACTCCCGCAAGAAGAACGTAATTTCTCCTTGGACGAACGGACGATGATCGAATAATCGGCTCCAAATCTCGCCCGTGTCTGCGGAAACGTGATCGCGTATAATACAATGTATTACCGTAATACTTAACGATAATTACGTCGGTCGTTTGCCGGATAAGCATACGTGTTATTAATTATCATGCGATGATCGCCGCACCTTTGATTATAGACGCCATATCATCGATAAAAACAGTCACGGAAGCCGCACTGCGGCTACACCGCGAGAGAAGCAGAGAGCTGACGAATCTCTCCTCTCTCTCTCTCTCTCTCTCAGTGTGGTTCCAGGAGTCCCAACAGGAGGATTCCCAATCAACACCAGAATTATCGGCCATGTAATTTTCCCCTAGGGCTGAAATATGAAAAGTGAAACGTTTTCGAATCAGAAAATTAACACTTTTCACGAGTTCACGTCAGAGAAGAAAATTCACGATTTCTTAAGATGCATTCGAGTATCTCAAGAAATCCCACCTGATCATGAATTTTCCCCTCTGATGCGAATTCGTGGAAAGTGTAAATTTTCTTATTTGAAAACATTTCACTCTTCACGTTTCCACCCTAGGGAGAAGGTTACGTTGATCGTGGGACCTCGATGAATCGATTCCTCCGCGGGATCGATCGTTCCCTCCGTGCTTCCTACGATTCTAACTTGTGGATAAAAGGGTGCAGGGGGCGCCACCATCGTCGTGGAAAGCGAGCTCGTGGTACGACTCAACGGTGGGTCGGCCGGATCGTTGCTCTCCAAGTAGTACAACTTTGCCGCTTTTTCCATCTCAACGATGAGTCCGTCAGCGTCATCGAACGTTACTTCGATGACAATCGGTCAGATGTTAAATACGTGCGAAGAGATTCACGGTTTGTTCTCGACGTTTTTGAGATGTATGATCGATCGCGTTGCGTTCCGGGTGAATTTCGGAGTACCGCCATTGTACGTGATAGCACATCATGCTCCCTCACACCGCGATCATGTGCGCGATAACAAACAAGAGATAAATAATCCGTTTGTACCGACGCGACTCGGATCGGTAGATATAACTACGGATTTCTCCGGAAATGTCCGATAATTAAAGTACACCGCAAACATGCGAGATGCTTTCATATGTTCGATATAACATACACGGTTTATCAGTTTGACGGGTCGAGTACATCCCTATGCCTCGGTTATGTAATGCCATTGGGTAACAATACGCGGGTAAGAGCCGTACTTTGAAAATATATAATTTCAAGTAGATAGCGTGTCGACTCGAATCGACTTGTCAGCACCATAGATAGACGTAACCGATCGGAATGATTTTCCCGTTCGTTTATCACGGATGTGTATGTTGTCGATCTCTACGTTTCCGTCGATCGATGGTAACTTGTAAGAGAAACGCGTCTCCTTGCAGACGAGGAAAGTATCGTTCGACGTGAAAGGCAAATCGACCGTTCGGACGAGCGTTCCGGAGGAAAATCAGTTTCTGACGATAGCAGCAGCTTTGCCGATTCTGCCGGGTGCACCTGTACCTCCGAAGCTATCCAAGCGTTCCTACAATTCATTCAGGTAATTATCGGATCGAGATCAAATATTAATATAATGCGAGGAGCGGCCAGTTTTTTTTCTTGTTCGATATAAATTGCACAAGGCACCCGTTCGTGTCCTGTAAATCGTGAATTCTCGGCATTGACAGTTCCACGGGAACCCAGTTTGAGATTGGACATGCAGAGGCTGGGGTATGCGACGTGGTCACGTTACAGTGGACAGGAGAAACGAGGACGGTCGTGGCATCGAGAACTCCCGCCGAACGGGAGAGAAATCCTGACAGGATATGCCTGGACAGGCGGGGTCTGACGACGTTTCCCAAGGTGATCGGGGAACCGAGATTGAGACTGATGTCGCTTCAGCACAACCTTCTCACGAGAATCGAGAGCTCGAACTTTTCCCAGCTGACGAAGCTTGTGTTTCTCGACTTGTACGATAATCAGGTGGAGAAAGTATGCGAGCTCGACCTTCTGGAGAACCTAAGGGTGCTGCTGATAGGGAAGAACAGAATAAGAAAGATTGAGGGTTTGAAGCAGCTTACCAAGCTGGAGGTTTTGGACCTGCATGGCAATCAGATTCAGCAGATCACCGGCTTGGAGGATCTGTCGTCGTTGAAAGTACTCAATTTAGCTGGGAATAGTATCAAAACTGTAGGCTGCAATGATTTTCAAGGGCTGGCGTCGCTGAAGGAGCTTAATCTGCGTCGGAATAAACTGAAGAGGCTGTTGGGATTCGGTGAGACGCCCCAATTGCAGAAATTGTATCTGAGTAACAATGACATTAATAAGTAAGTAGTATGTGAGGACGATCGTGCAGTCAGTGAGAGAAGTGTGATTTCTCGTAGCCATGTTTGATGCGTATCAAACGATCTTGGCGTTTTTCAGAGTCGAGGATATGGGTAGCCTTGCGAAAGCCTTGCAGATTAAAGAAATCACGATAGACGGCAATCCGGTGACTCTGAATTCCGACTACATCTCCTTTCTCGTGTCGTACCTGCCAAATCTTCAGCTCCTGTCGACGATGCAAATCAGCGAGCAGATTCGGAGAACGGCGATGGCTTGGAGATTCTCGAAGGAACAGTCCAATTCGGCGTTCCTCGACCTTAGCACGCAAGTTTGCATGAACGTACGTAGAGAGGAGGTGATATCGAACGCCAAGATAAATTGGGAACTTCTCAGATCCAGGAGCAAGGTCTCCGTTGACAATTCCACGAAAACGACGAGCAACGGCAGAGGCAGCGGTGTTGACACGCTGCACCATATGCAGAATCCGAATAAATTCAACACCGTGAAACCGAAGAGTCTGGACAAGAGCAAGGCGAAAGGCTTCGGCAGTTTAACGTCCATAAACGAGAACGTGGAGGCGAGGAAGATACATATAAAAAAGCGAAGCAGCTCCAGCGACAATTTCTTCAAATTGGAGGATACGTCAAGATCGTATCCTTTGGAATTCAAGCTGCCACCTATACTAGGCTCGATAGTGGACAGTTTAACGAACGACAGGTTCGAGGAGAGGTCATCGAAAGATAGCAAGGAAAACACCGGTAAAACGAAAACGCTCAGCGACATCGAGAGCACGTCGGGTAGCGATTTCGACAGTTCCGAGAGTCACGAGAGCTTGAAGAGCGGTCTGCGGTGTCACCTGTTTCCTCCCAACAGTTGCGGCTCGTCATCCGTAGATTACGACAAGTCCGCTACTGTTTGTAAGAAGGTCGCCACTGCGAAAGATACGTCGAGTCAGTCGCCGACCAGAACGGACAGTTTGCACGGTGAAGATAACGGGAAAGCAGGACAAGACAAGACGGCTCTCTCTACACGGAAGCCCTTGAAATACTGCGACACAGTGACAAGCGAGAACAAAAGCTTGAACAATAGATTGCTTCAGAACGTGAGGATATTCTATAACCAAGACGGACAGAGCGACTGTCAATCGAAATCAACCGTAAGCTCCTCCGGATATTGCTCTCTAAGTTCCAAGGCCAGTAGTTTAGACAGTTGTAAGTCATTGTTAAGCGATTCTAGCACTTCGTCGATGCCTAAGAATACCGTAGATCGCAAGCCACCGTACGATTGTGACAAAGAGAAAAGTAGAATTAAGAGCGCCCAGGTGAAGAAGGTAGTGTACTACAAGAGCAACAGAGCCGCGACGGCTCGAGCGAAGTTCAAAGCCCTCACTCCGCCGAGTCCGCCTCCGCAACAAGCAACGCCCAAGGAGAGAGAGCAGGGTAGGCCACTATTTTCAGTTCCTCCTTTACAACTTCGCGTTATTCGACCTTTAACACATTGCCCATCGATCGGCTAGATCTATCCTTGGCTGCGTTCGGCGAATACAACAGTCGAGTGGTCGACTTTTGAAAGATAGATGTTGATCGACAGACTTAAAAGTATCCTCCAATCATAGATAACAATAGGCTTGGGTAGTAATCAGTCAATTAAAAATTACGTCAGAGAAGTTCATAATTTTCACTTGAACTCGGGTAATTTTTAATTAGTTAATTCTTAGTAATATTAATATATACTCTAGTTATACTCTAGTAATATTAAACATACTTATAATTACCATAATTTAGAATGCAAAATTTTAGCTTATTAATATTTTTTTACGTAATCCATCAATATTAAACCCCCCCCCCCTTCCCCACCGAGATTTTTATAATATAAAATAAGAAAAATTAAAAATAATTTCAGAAGAATATTTTTGTTTTTTTTATTTCCTAGATAACATAACGTCCAAAATCGAAACATAAAAAGTCTTTCAGATGTCTTATATCCCAATTTTAGACGTTATATTGTCTGAGGTTGCTAGGTTGTTCTTGTTTGGAATCCTGAGTATAATAGTCGGTATTTTCTTATAATAGACTACTTTTCCTTTATTTAATATAAATTGAATGGACGATTAAAAAGCTAATTATACAAAAAAGCATACATACATGTATATGACTTTGCACAATTAATTTTTAACTTTAACAAATTAATATTAACTTAACTTTTAAGTTTTTGTTTAGATATAACTTTTAACTTAACTAAGCCAATTTGACAAAGACCATTAACTTTCAACTTAACTTGGTTGAGAATGAAAATTAATTTACCCAACTCTAGATGATAATTATTCAACGGATGTACAACCGTTGTGTTCTCTGAACGCAACCCTTTTGTCGATGATCGTCAATCGACCAATCAACTTAAACTTTTGACAATTCTGCAGAAAAAATGGTCTTTATTTTGAAATTTTACTATATTGATTCCTTGTCCCTTACAAACAAGTACTGATTAGCTGCATCAGTGACTGATGAATGTTTCAATTAACTGATGATGTTAGGTCAATTAACTAATAATTTTTTTTTTATTTGCACCAATTCGTGTCCAGTAACTTGTGATGTTCTATCAGTTACTGATAGAATATCATCAGTTAATTGGAACATTTATCATCAGTTAATTGGAACATTTATCAGTTACCGATGCACTTAATCCGTTTTTTTTTAAGGGATGTTGCAAGAATTATAAAAAATTCAGGTCAAGAGGTTACTGTGTACCGTTTTTACAAAATGTACAGTTTTCGAAGCCTGGTAAAGCGCAACTCGCGCGGTCGGCAATGTGTTAATACAGACAGTAACACAGATGTGACATAAGACGTTGTTCTTCTAGGCGGGGATTATTTAATAGAAATTGTTGGTCGATGCTTGAATATTTACGGTCAAGGCGCCTTGCGCTTTATAGACAGAACCTGGGACACGTCGAAGGCCCAGGACGTTAACGTCGTGAAATTCAATTATGTACAATTTAACGACGTGGCGAGGATTCTGAGCAAACTGAAAAACAGATTTCCGTACGCGGAACATTACGTGTTCAAAGAAACCAACATCAGTCTTCTCGGTCAGCTGAATGCTTTAGCTGAAGTACAGGGATTAACTAGCATACAGATAGACGCAGGCAATCCTATCGTGTCTAAGGATTGGAAGATGTATGCTATATTTCGATTAGCTCACTGGGGACTCACGATCATCAACGGCAAGGAGGTACGGATGTACTCTCAGATACTTGAGGACATTATTTCTATTTATTAATTCGTTATCGACTTTGGCATTCCCTTAACATTAAATGGGAATCAGACAATGTTAAATCATCACTTGCCGAAATTCACGTGAATCGATATTCTTGAAATTTCCAAGTAGGATATGTATCTCGTTTGTTATTATCCAGACAAGCCCTTTCCGCAGATAACAGCCGAGGAGGTCGAACTTGCGAACCAAGAATACGCAGGTCTCATAGATATAGTAACGTGTTCACTGCCAGATTCTTTATTGCAACCTTTGTTACAAAGACTTCATCTGGAAAAAGTGCAAAGACAAAGCGGGGAGCAAATTACTGCCAAACAATTCTTATTCAACTGTGACCTGGCGCTCAGAAGTGTCGTCGCCAAGGAAGCGTTGCAATGGAGAAAGGGAAGCGTGACGCAGGTAACAAAGTGAAGACGAATACGACTTTTTATTATTTTCTTATCCGTAAATCCTTCGTAAATTAAAGTATATACTTGTTTGAAATCGACAACGTAAAGGGATGAATTTCTAACCGGGGCGTATTTCTCTAACTTGTTTATAGGAAGATCTCATTTGGAGACACAAGGGAAAAGTACACTTGCTGAATCTAATCAGTCTCACTGTAAGCGCCATACAGAAGTTACAGATTCTGGAGAAACAGTGGCCGAGTGTTCTGTACGAAATCATTCATAACACTCTGTCCGATTTCTCCGAGATGGATGCGTACATGAAACGTTGCAGCAAAACGCTCGAGAGCGACAAGTAACATCATTTTATTCTCTTTTTATTTACGATGCGATGTCATTAGAGCGTCACGCGGAAGCGTGTCACGTTCGGATTTGCAGCATTAACGTGTACGAAAGAGAGAGAGAGAGAGAGAGAGAGAGAGAGAGAGAGAGAGGGGGGGGGGGGGTAAAGTGCATTTACAACAGGGACGATTTTATGTGCGCACGTGTGTATGTATGCGTTATGTTATAAATATATTGAATATATATTTGCTAGTTGGTGAATAGAACAATAAATTCTATATAAATATTGTTAACAGGTTTTTTTTTAATGTATATAGCCATTAAAATGTATTGTACATTATTGCAATATACAAAGAGTCGATTGATACACGGATTCGCGTTTCTACGAAACAATCTGCAGAACATTTATAAAAATTCTCATTTAATCAAGTGTTTCGATCAACGTATAAGATTATTTATCATACATCACGATCGAACGACAGAGACATACGGAGGACGTCATTTCGTACCGATGATAGATTCTACGCTGAAGGAGATCGGTGTTTTCTTTTCTAAACGCGACTCGTTGTTTGTAGTAGCGCAACCCCGCGAGTCCGGCCGGGTAGAGATAAAATTGTTCAGGTCGTCGTTCGTTATATACGACTGCGCCACTTCGTTGAACCACGGGATCGTCGGATACGCAGAATGGTAAGATTGCACTTTCAACGTGGACTCAGCCTCTTGCTTTTGATTGCATCCGAGCGACGATAAAGTACTTAACAAACGCGGATGCGGCGACACTGAAATGTGGGAAAAGGATTTTTTGCAAATAAGATCTCATATAATCTCATTTTTTTCTGTACACATATATATACACTTACATCGATACGTTAGAGGCACCCATAAATAATCAAGTGTTTCAAAATAAAACATTCGAAAGTCAAATTATTTTTATTTTTCAACAATGATATAATTAGACGAAAAATGTATCAGAAGAGCTTTTAGTTTTTAAGTAATAATATAATAAGTTAAATATCTTCCTTAAATAATATATTAAGGGAACATTATTTATTATGCAAAAAGTGAGGCTATTGAAAAAAAGAAAGAAATGAATGCCTGGAATATGATAACCAAACCGTTGCTGTTAAAGCATGACAAATTTATTGAATTCACTTTACAAAAACGTTTAGGTCTATTGCAGACTATCCTCGGTTTAATTAAAAGGAACAGAAATGCCAAAAGTCAATATATCATAAATTTCGTCAAATCTTAAACAGTATGGAATCTTATCGCAAATCCAAGCAGAAGACGCAATAACTATTACCATCTTGAATATCTTCGGCAAATAAAAATATTTTATTAACGACTAGACGAAGATGAAAAAAGCTAATATTTACAGAAGGTGTTCGGGGTGATGAGGTTGGTGTGAATGCAATTTCCGTTACATAAATTTGCCTTCCATTCTCATGCTTCGGAAATATTCAAGGTGGTAATTGATTATTGCCTGTGCACCATATGGTTCAACTAGAAACTACGAGGCCAAGTGTAAATTGTGACTTGTGTTATGAATTTGTGCAAGTTGGCGGGTACGTTTTCTTCCGAGGAAATAAAGAAACTTGTGATAGTGATTTAGACGAAATACATTGCAAATCAAAGGAATTACATTGGAGAGCAAAGAGCTCACAAATTTTCTACCGCCCTTATAATAAACTTTATAGCTAGAGTGCGGATAATTACCCAGACAGCATATAATATTTATAAAATGTTCCAAAAATATAAATATGAAATATTTGGTAAATATCCAAATGTCCGGAAAAGTCAGGCATGAGAAGGATTATGATAAACATTCGAGAATATTTTCCAGAAATAATGAAAACACGCATTTACTTAAGCGAAGTCACGTCCTTATTTTATGAGAAATATTCTTCACAGATCTTTGCGAATATTTATCGTAATCTTTCTCGTGCCTGATTTTCCCGGGCGTTTGAATATTCGCCAAAATATTTAATATCGATATTTCTTAAACACAGATTCACATCAACATTCTGCGCTGGGTGTTGACTTACTCTCGTGATAAAAACAACTCTTACAAATACTTGATTACTTGCGGGACACCTCGGAATACATCTGCTTTTAATTCGCAGGTAGTACTCACACGCACCAGGTAGACTGTGTATGGCGTTCAATCCGTAGAAGCCCTGCGTCACGCTGATGCTCGTCTGCGTGAAATGCAGATGATGCCTCTGGAAGTTCTTGGATCTCCTGGGGCAGACCGCGTCGGACTCGTCGTACTTGCCCTTAGCGTAGTAAGGGCTGACGGTGTTGTCCGTCGGCGAGGATTTGTTCGCCGAGGACAGCAGATTGTCGCTCTGCGCCTGCTGCTGCCTGCGTAGAGCGACTTGCGCCGCCATCACTCGCTGCCTCTCGACGACCAAGAGACAGCACGGGCACCGGCAGTCCTTCCACGCGCAGGACCTCTTGTGGCCCTTCAGCCCGGATATCACACCGTGGTTCCGGCATCTCGCGCACTTCGGGCTTCTCAGCCGTTGCTCCATGCCCGGGTTCAGCCGACTCCCGGTGCCCCCGCCGTCGGTTTTCATCTCGGTCTCTGCGCGTTACTCACCGTCGAGCCACATCGCGGCCCCGGCCGCTTCTCTGCACAGTTAACATAAGTTTTCGGTTAGAAAGGTCGAGCTTACGGCGATGATCCGCGGTCATCGATCGATTTCGTCTGTCTTCGACGGGCGATCGAAGTCGTGAGGGGGGTTTCGTTTCAAAATGTCTCGTGAGATCCCCTCGGGTTGGAAAACGGCATTACTCCCGTGCAAATCGCACGGAAGTACACGGAAAAGGAACAATCTCGTCGGTGCGACTGAACTTTCCGTCGCTCGGGGATTTCATTAAAATTCGGAACGGAAATATTCCTGCAGGAGGTTTTCTACACGGTGACAAATATTTCGTACTTCCGTTTTGTTGAAATCGGTCGTTCGTCAAAGTTTCGTGTTGAATTCTCAGCATAGCCGTGTGTTAATTTGATATATATTGATTGGGGCGTTTGAAGATTTTGCGCAGAATTGATATTCAACGTCCTTTTGGGTTGAAGTAAACAATTTATATGTGAGTGTACGTTTGACACGAAGATTGCGTAGCTTTAGGGTGATTTTTCCTCGGTAAGACAGTTAACATCTGTTTAATTTTTTATCACTTCTTAACGTATTCTCACCTCATGTTAAATCAACACGAAGATTTGAGCGAGCCGTTTGGGACGTATGAAATGTGTGAAATTTAATCCCAAAATTTTCTCACCGCGTACTCAGCCAATTGTGTCGAGCAGTCACGTTCAGCGGAACGTTTATTTTGCAACTGTTGGAAGTTTTCTGAACCGAGATTGTATTATTCTTTCAGATCAAGAGGAATAATCTCAATGCAGAAAAGTCCCAGCGGTTGTAAAATAAACATTCTGCCAGACGTGGCCATTAGAACTCGGTTGAGAGACGGCTGAGAACACAGCAAAAGATTTTGCGTTAAATTTCACACATTTCACACGTCCCGAGTACTCCAATTTTTGTGATTGATTTAACACTCAAACATGCGGTCAACGCTGAATTCGTTCACACGAATGTTCTCAGTCGCGGTAACAGAGATGTCACTTCATCTCGCCGCCGAGTTTTCACCTGATCCTTGGTTCCGTTGCGGGAACTGAATTCTTTTTTCCGTGTACCTTCGAGAATGCGATAGATACAGATTTACAGATCTCGTTCACACTACGAGCGCCGAGAAATCGTCGCTTCGCTTCCCGAGCGACACCGTGAACTCTGCCCACCGATGATCAGTTCCGCACACCTTTTACCGCCTTTTATCGGAGAAATCACTCCCCGGGAATGTTTCTCTCTCCGTGCTCGAACTATGTAACTATGTATACAACTAAATATACACAGAAAAGAAATAGTCTTGAATCAAGAACAGATAGACAGATATATAAGCGAGAATATTATAATACTCTCGGGAGACTTTTGGTCTTCAATTGAGCTCAAGTCCCCTAGGGACGTCCCGAGGATGTCCTGAGGACGTCTACGGGACGTCCATAGGATATCGTGCGCCGTTTTAATACGAATTCAATCGGATCAAAGCTAAAGATCCTCGGAGAAAACGAATAACATTTATTCTCTCAGCTTGAGACTGATTTTCTTTCTGCGTATTTACCCTTTCGAGACACGCGAGAACTTTCGTCAAGGGCTGCCGAGATCGCGGGCGAGATCACACGCGCGACTTCCTCATTCGGACGGCACCGCTCGCTTCCGTCCGGACGCTTCTCGGACGCGCCGACTGGATTGCCGCGATACGTCTCACTCCGCCGGAGATATATACTTGTAGAAAATACTTCTTGTCGTTCGCGCGAAGGAGGTGTCGTTCCATCCTCCTACCGATTCGAAATGGTATTTTTAGAAGGCCGACGCGCCGCCATTGGCCCGACAGCCCGGGAAACTCCGCCGCTCTCGCCGGCTGCGGGCCAATCGTTCGCGCCGCTTCTCTTCCCCGCTTGGTCCTTCTTATGCGAGCAGTTTGTAACTCCTCGGCGGAAAAATGTTTCGTTAACCGGCTGGCTCGTTTGATTACAGTTCGCATGGAAACGCAGAAGCGACGATGCGTCGTCGCCGGACGCGCGCGCGCGCGCGAGAGAAAGAGGGGAGGCTGACGAGGCGCGCGAAACAAAGCGAATGAATTTCCAACTCTTCTCCGCTTCTCGACTTCTTCCAACCATCCCTCGGTGCTGCCTTCGAATCCCGTCGAGTACTTCCCACTTGAATTTCCCCTGTGAAACAGGCGCAGACGTGATATTCTTTCGGGAAGACGATATCGGATGTACGCGCAGGATGTTAACCAGGTGGTCGTCGAGGGGGAGAGAGAGAGAGAGAGAGAGAGAGAGAGAGACTCCACGGTGGAAGTCCACGGTGCCACTCATACGTTAAGAAAACATACTCGAAACTAATATTAACTGTGTGTTGGCAACATCCGAGAGGATCGTATTAACGAGCTCTTAGAGCAAGATCACAGAAAGAATGCCATATGGTTGCAGCTGCCGGCGCATAACGTTGTTAGTAGAGCGAGATTGTCTGTCTTCTATTTTTGCGGTGCACAACACGACGCGTGTGCACCGGGGGGCCGCGAAAGAGATCGCGCCTATCGTATCGGCCGCAAGACCAACGGCTAATCGTCGTCCTCTCTCTCTCTCTCTCACTCTCTCTCTCTTTCTCTCTCGGCGATGTTAACGATTCGTTTCTCTCTCAACGGAATCTCGACCCTTTGAGTCGCGGGCTTCTTTTTCTCTTCATTTTAGAATTTTAGTGTCATTTCAACGGAGGCGCCGGACGGGTGTAAGTAGTGTTTCAAAAGTCCGATCTGAAACCCGCACTTCCGGCAGGAAATGAGCCGAAAAATTGTATTCTGAGGAATTGGAAAGCGTGTTGACGAAGAGACGGGGAGAGATGTTTTTTTTCCAAGTAAATTTATTCCGTAGCTAAATAAAACGTTCTATCGGCGCGGATAGGTGAATCAAGATGTTTCGATTTTTAGAGACGCCTATATAAATCCTTGAGAATACACCGGGAAGAATTCGAAGGATCTCAACAGGATTCTCTCGTCGGGGGCGAGAATTTCAACCGGGATCTTAACCGAGACCGACGACGCCCGATTGTTCGATGTTTCGGCTTCTGTAATCTTCTCCGGTCTATTCCATCCGGCGACACGCGTGTTTCCGCGGGCCTTTTTTCAGCTTTCCCAAAGTCGCGCGGTTAGACGAGTTTAAATTTACACGTGCCGGTGGGCACGCGTGACACGTACCGAGGAATTCATCCTAATGAGCGTGGAACGAAGGGATGTCATCTCGGGACGCATCTTTTTCTCGCTCCTGGGCGCCTCCGCCCGAGGGTGTTGTCAAGACGGCAAATATGTCGACAGGTCATTCAACATCTTCCTCGCTTTAGTCGCGCTGGAGATCCACGACGGAGCCGATGTCATGTATCTTCGGATACTCGGATCGACGAGACCGTTTTACACTTATCCGTTCGGAACGAAACATCGGTCGAGCGAAGTCACTTCTGCTCTCTCAGCGCGAGAGCGGAATAGCCGGGGCATTTTTTCCTACGAGTACTAACGATGTTAAGGAGGATGTCGAGCGTTTGACCGAATATAAAATATAAATTTGTATATGTAATACGTAAGTTTTAATCGAGCCAATAATACACTGAAGTAAACATTGCTGTGTTCAAGTAAATATTTGTTAAGGAGTATCGGAGTAGTTTATTTTATTTGGATTAAGTAAATATTACTTGGACGTAGTACTTTTTCTCTCTTTCAGCGTACTACATTCAAGTAACATTTACCCGATCCAAATCAAATAAACTACTCTGATATTTCTCACAGCAAATATTTACTCGAACGTAGCAAGTTTCTTTTCAGTGCGTAACAGAATTTCAATGATCCTTACCGTATCGTTTCCGAGATATTCAATTATAAACTCACACAGCGCAAGTATATGTAGAAACTTCATAGTATAACAAACTTCTAATTTGACATATTTATATATAAAATATAGAAGTTTGATCAATTCTGTTGCGATAATAAAATGAACATTTAAGCATACTTTAATGAAGTATTACATAAATTTACCGTCAGATTGAAGAGAAATTTACATCCTTCGATGAGAACATTCCTGAGATCGACAATATACAAATTGAAATATTATAACATCATATATCATGAGAAGAGTTAACGCCGGATTTGAAATAATTTCGTACAATGCCATTTTTATATTTATTTCTATACTTATTTTATATTTCAACATAGCACTTTTGCATTTTCAATTCAAATTAAATTAAACTGATCATTTACCAAATATAGTAACATGTTAATTAACAAACTCACATCTAATTTTTTAGTTCAATCTGAATATCTTATTTGAATTTTGTCTCAACTCAATAAGCGGGAAATCATTAACACAACGTTATTACAATGATATTTTATAATATACAATGTTTTCAAATATATATTTGACCCAAATATTAAAAATAATATTTTTACATTATGATTTTAATATTTAAAAATATTATATTATCAAATAACAGTATAAAAACACTTATAAAATATTGCCAAATATTTATAAGATCCACATAAAATCATTCTTTCGAAAGGCTTATTCAATGTTTCTCGCTCACTGGAAAATAAGACATTCCGACCTCAGTTTAGTCAGATATGAGTTTCAATTTTGGAATCGCACGATACACGTGACATTGTCTTCACAATCGCGACTCTACCGAAAAATGCACACCTCGCTAGAATCTAATTATCTCACTTGGGAGAAGTTTCAAGCAACCACCATTGATCATCGAGCCTAAAATGTCAATAGCTTCATCCGAGTATCGAATTGTATCGAACGAGCTGGACTGTCAATTTGCTCGTTCAGCGTATCAGTGATGTGTGACTGCACGTGTGACTTCGCTTGGTATCTGGGGAAGTTCATCGTCGGGTTCACCGGGATGCTGTTTCTTTACGTGGGCTTCCTGAGAGAAAAGTGAGCGACCTCAACATATGGGCCAAATCAAAACGACGTCAGGAATATAATGCTGTTTTTGCCCGGCAGTAAGAAAAGTTGTGTATGCGGGCCGAGAATGAGAGAATTACTGAGGCAGAAAAGCGAAAAGTGAGTCAGACTGATCATGCACGCGCGTCTTCCTCCGGAGGTCTCGCTTCGGTAGAACTCGTCGCTTTATTTCTCGCGGAGTTGGACGCGCGGAAAAGGATTGCTCTTTCTATGACCGGTGACACTGTAATTACTGCGTTATCAACGATATTAATAACACGCATTTCCATATGTTAGACGACCAGACAGATGTGAGTGCGGGAAAGGGTAAGTCAATGAGATTTCTCAACAGTCCGTTTCATCTCAAACTATTCGTAACAATGATGTAAGCTTGCCTCTCTCGGATCTGAAAAAAACTTTAATGAAATAAGGAAATATAGATCGAAGTGTGTATTTTATCTATATTTGAAATCAATCTTCTCTTAATGTCAGATAAAACCATATGTGTGCGTAAGATACTTTATAGGTAAGATTATGTTTTATCTTTATTAAGATAAATCTCAAACTGTTCATAACGATGATACGAGCTTTGCTTTCTAATTTCTAATCTCGAAAAATGTTAATGAAATAAGAAAATATAGATAAAATTATGTATTTTATCCATATTTAAGATAAATTTCTCTTTTAATATAGGATAAAAATATGTGTGTAAGATATTCGAGATGAAATTATACATATAACTTAACTGTAAAACTGTAGGTCCCATATACTTGTGTGTAAAATCTGCGTGCGTACCACAAGTATATGCGTGTGAGAATTGGAAGATGTGAAAGATGTTAAAAACCGATATACATACGTATGTATATATATAACATTTACTTTTGCATTGCAGGAGGGAAAACAAACGTTATCCATGCGGATGTAATAAGCCGACGCAACCGTGAGTCCATCGTCTTCCAGTTAACATTGAATCGAGCAATTGCAATTAAAACACATAAATACGTTCAATTATTAATATAATCCATCGATGTAAAAATCTCGTCAATTAAATGTCACAATTCTTCACCTTCCCAGGGCGCAGGACGATGACGCAATACCGACGGCTGCAATTGAACGTATTTGTGCGGAAACTTGTTGCACACGAAGAAATTCATATTGAAGAAGAAATATAACAATGTGAAAACTTCACCACAAATTCCCTAAGTTAAACTAACTTTCGTCAGAGTAAATATTTTTACGGACCATTTAATCGCTACTGATGACACACACACACACACACACACACACCAAAGAATAATTGCAAACATATCTCGAGAAACAAATTACGAAACAAGACGCGAGATCACTCGAAGATGCCGAATGACGAAAGTTTCGTTCCCGCATCGACGATACAGAAATGTTTAACACTTTTCTTCGATAAGTCGCGTGAAATGCAAAATGCATTTCGCATTGCGGCAAAAATTCCGGGGTCGTATTCGGGTCCTCGATTTCGAAAGGAACCGAAAGAGAAACAAGTAACGGGTGCATCATTCTTTCGACGTGTACGTCTCGATGATATCGTAGCTGGATTGAGTTTCCATGATTATGATGCGTGTCTCAATTAGCGATCCGCTACGAATCTGACGACTCGCACGCGTCGACGCTATCCGCGAGACGATCGCGCTGACGCATTAACAGAAGGCGGAATGACGTTACGTATAATCGCGGGGTGCGATAAACGACAGTTACGAGTAACCATGTATAATTGGCAACCGGTGAGTTGGCTACTAGATTCTATGAATAAATTGGACGTACCGCAAAGAGTGACACGCCTGGTCAGACGCTCCGAAAATCTGAAACTCGATTAATACGCGTCCCATCTGTAGGTGAAGAGTCTATAAGTAGATCTCTCGCGCGGGCAGAACGTCAGTCATATTCGTATATTATTTATACTGACCTGGTAGAGAGACGAGACATCTCCTCTTTGCTAACGAGATGGCCGCTCTCTCGACCTAACCGATGCGTGTACAATACGTAATATATTCGAGATCGCGCGTCGAGTCAGTGAGATTTTCCCCCTGCCGGCGCGATATTCATCGATCAACCGATAATAAAGTGTTCGTACACACAAGGTGAGGTGTATGAAACACTTCACAAATGAATACCGGAAATATTGATGACAGATAAAAATTTGTATCAATCGGACACGGGAAGAAATGACTATGTATATATATTTTGTTTCTACATGCCCATGTATAATCATATATAATTATATATGTCCCACACATAAAAAAATGCTGTTCTAATAATGAATATAACTGAAGCAAATGTTATGTTTATAGCTGCTCACGATGTAAATATTCAATCGAATCGAGCTATTTTCTCCGTTTTTCACTCAACAGTATTTTTATTTAGTGTGGACGTATATATAATTATATATAAATTGTATATGTAGCCATATATAGAGAAAATTCATATATTAAAATCATATCTAATTTTATATGTGATTATATATAGAAATTTTTCCTCAGGAAGTTCGAATGCTTCAACGTTCGTTTATTTCGGACGTGTTTATTTTCTCTCTGCATGAATATATCAAGGATTGAATTCGTTCCGATATGCATTACAATATATTGCATGAAAAATATATATAGTTCAATTACAAAACACTTGATGACTTTGAAATATTCTTGACACAATCATATATAGAGCGAAATAAATATATCCAAAAGATGCAACCCTTAAGACTTGAACTTTGCCCGATAAAATTTCTCGTTCCGTCGTCAATATTTTTTGAGAATCATTTTCGAGATCCACTTGTCGCGTTTTACGTGACTCATTCTGTATCCATTCACGTTAGTTGACTTCTCCTTTCGACAGAAGTACTCATTTCTGCTGAAGCCTGACTCGACGACGAATATGTCGGTAAAGTATAATTCTTCATTTTGTCTCGTACATTTTCCTCTTTTATGTAAAAGGTTATTCTCAATTGTTATCAAGGAAACACGAACGAGGGAACGACGGAACGCGACGAAGAGTCAGTCGAATATCAAACCGAAAAATATATATCTCGGAGATAAAAGTATACTTTACGCACTTTTAACATGGTACGTCCTAAAGCTCGCCGCGCGCCGAGCTTTTCACGTTTGATATACGTGAGCTCTCTCTCTTTCTGAATGGCAGGCTTTGTGAGAGAAACGTCGCAGCTGCGTCTCTTTCGCTTCGTATTTTGCGCGCATTCCGATGAAATAAAACGAGATGAGCAGGGGTGGCGGGCCGCGCGCGAGTCAAGAAGAAATATTTCGAAACGGGAAGATGTTAAATGAGCGAACTGTCCGACTGTCACTCCACTTAGTACCCAGTTTCTTAGTGTTTAACGAACGTGTGTGAGAGCTAAGACGATTCCATGAATATCGCGAGCTCCCTTGTAGAAAATATAATACATCCTCAAGTTATACAAAATGTTCGGTAGATTTTTATATTTATTCGGGCCGCTTCAAGTAACAATAGTTAAGTAATAACAGTAACAATAGTTTTAAATAACAAAAGTTAACGATACATCAATCATCGAAATCAATCAGATAGTCTTCGACATTGAGGAATCTGTCTTGAAAGAAACATTCGGTGATCCACTCGGATTTGACAATTTTTGCACCTGCTCGTTCGTACACTTTCAAATCACTGGCGGTACGATCAGCTTGATCCTTCACGAAGACATGCGTCACGGAATCTTCGAAATTCTCTTTAATCGTGCCTGCTTGATCACGAAATACGAGCTGCTCGAAGATCATTTTCTCGCTAAAGAATCCATTCACGTTCCGAAACATACAAGGGGACGGCGTCTCTCGGAAAGGTTTCGCGTCTTGACCCTAAAAATCGTTTGTACAAACTTCAGCCAGAGATAAACCGATTTGGTACGAAGGCTACTAAGAAAGTACTCTCCATACATCTTTTGGTCAAAGACTTTTTAATATTACCAATTCGTCGATCCTGACGAACGAATGTTTCAACGTTGACGCAGTCGCATCGATTTGATAATAATCGAAATACATATCGTATTCCTCAGGTGAGTCAGGGGAATGTTTTCGCTTGCTTAACAACTCCCACGGATGAAAAGAAATGGATGATTTGGGATCACGGATGATGCGTAGAAACCAATCGAAAGATACTACATTGTCGTGGTTCTTTATAGCATCCAAAGCTCGTATCTGAGGAAAAATAGTTGCAAACATCCCTTAAAGAGGCTATAAGGCTTAGCATCGTATTTTCAGTGGATGTATCAAGAGGACCATTCATAAATCTAGTATTTGTCAAACGAAATTACGTTCTTATAGATTAATTTCATTATCTAAATAATAAATATTAATTTGAAACGAAGATAAACATATGTATGCACAATATTACGAAAATATTATAATTTTTATTTTTTTGTATCAATGCCATATCTATGCATCGATTTTTCTAATAAAGATGCACAGATAATATAAAGTATATAACTGTTTAGATATATACATATGTATATGTATTATTGTAAATTAATTTTTAAAATAAAACTGTCAATAATTTTGAGATTTGTGTATACGTGTACACTAGTCTTTAATATTATAGTAGTTTTTTATCAAAATTTTATTTTTAATTTAGAAGACATTAAAGATAGAAATGAAAAATAATACGCTAAGGAACACGCTCAAGAAACATGTGTAAAAACTGCCAACTTGAATAGCATAAATATCTTAGCTCTCGAATGATCAATTTCTTCCTAATTGCAAGAACAGCTAGATAATATTTCATTATATACGTAGTGCAAGTCTCGAATTTTTATCAAACTCACTTCGCCTTATGATCTCTTTAACACACCAATTATCACAGTGCGACATCAGGGAACTTTGTTCTCGACGCCATTTTAAATTTCATGTTATTTTAACACGCTAATTAATGTACCGATCAATTTTATAATTAATTTCAATATTTAAGATTTTCAAATATTAAGATTAATTATATTTATTATTCTACAAAACTCACAACAGAAATCTTGTGCGCAAGTCAACGCGTAATTAGCGTGTGTACGGAACAGAGAATTAACTCTTTATCTTCATTAATTAATTTGTCGACGCCAGTTGCGAGATAATTTATTAGGCAGTCAGCGAGTTGAAAAACGCGCATATCTCGGAAAACGGAGTCGCACGATGCATTTCCTCACCGTAGTAGTTTTGCCTACTATCGTACAATAAGTTGTGGGTGTCGGATACTTGACGATCTTTGCGCTATGCCAGCCCAGCGTTTCCTGTATCTTTTCTTCCGGAAAATCCTCGGTTCCGTTTATCACGCAGATTTCTTTACCTTCCAATCGTCGCGTGTGTATCACTTGTGTCTTAAATAGAACGTGTGCGATCCTTTCGCTCTGAGGCCGTGCCCGTGTCCTTGGCTTATCCGACGTACGTTTCGGTACCCTAATTAATTTCTCGTCGTTCTCCAGAGTAGCTTCCACTTTAATTAACTTGTGGATCGTCCCTTTCTCCTATAATAGGATTGATATGCGCGTCGTAAACAAGCGACACGAACGTCGTACCCGATCGAATGATTACAGTTACTTGCCTTGACTAAAGATAAAATTTCCGTACTAGTGCATACACTGTACCACGGCTTGTCCTTTCTGATGTGCGTGACTCGGGGAAATCGGAAGCTATACTTAAGCGGATAATTGTGGCTGGGCACCATCTCGGTAGCTCGTATCGTTAAAATTACGGAATCCTCCGGGCGAAGCCACGCGTCCGGCTGAGATTTCTGGAAGGAATTTGCATCTTACAACGCGAGATTTTTGGAAGAAATCTCGTCGTACGACGCGTAATTGCTCGGCGATTGAACGAATGATATTGAATACGGCAAAGAATCTGCTTCACGCCTCGAGTTATACATTGAATACAAATTATATGTCTAACATATAATTTAACGAAGGAATTTTTACCTTAGAGCACACGACACTTGCGGGACGCTCTTCCAACCATTTCGGCGAGAATTTCTCCTCAAGAAAATCCCACTCTTCGTTGCTTAGCCCATTGCTCACAGACACAATTTCCACAAATTCCGACGGACGCTCTTCCCTGTTGCTCGCCGGAAGGGCAGCACCCATCAGCAGACTGTTGAGTTTTCGAGGAGATTTGTGTATCGTGTAGCAGCCGCCAAGTATAATCAAATCTAAATCTTGTACTAAATTATCGGAATACTACAAAGAGAAATTACTATTGATAATGAATATTTATATAATAATTAAATACAATGAATCAAAGCTTTAATATAACATTCCTTACTTTTGCATTACTTTGATAATAATAATAAACGTTATTAAACAGGCGAAACACCTCTCGTATATAAAAATAAAAGAAAACAAACAAACAGGTAGAATAATCGATGCGAAGATAAAAAAAAATTTCTGTATCATGGGATGACACCATCATTATGTCACACGTGCTCACTAAAGCAAAAGAAATACGAGAGAAGGAAAATAAGGCAAAGACGATGTATTTGAAAAAAATGATTAGGGGAAGAAACGTTAAAAGTATTGCAAATTGAAGCGGCAAAAGGATACATTTACATAAATTTTAATTTCATCGATAGCACGCCGATATATACGCCGATCGAAGATTTTTTCGACGGTACTTTCAATATGAGAATCAAAAGGAAGGTCATGATCCATCCAAGTTTGCAATTTTCCCTCCCTCTCCACCGGCATGTATCTACCGTGTGTACTAAAGTTGTAAGAAAGGCTCCCGAACGACTTACCTCCGCTTTAATCTTGTAACAACCGCCGCCGTCCCGAACACCGGGTTTATACAGGAAATCATAACGTTTCACGACAATCCCTTCCTCTTTCTCTTGGAGGCATTTCGAGCGGAATATATCCCCCAATTGTGTCCTTGCGATAAAAATAAATAATAACGAATAGCGATAAACCAGAGCTCTAATAATTAATTTAATTCGTCTCTCTTCTCGTTAACCTTTCGCGACTCTTTGCAATAATGCATCGTATATTTTCACTTGGTTTAACATCAATTTAATTAATTTAACATTAAGAAAATTCAATTTCTAAAGGATAACATCTTACGTGTCCTTAATGAGAGTGACTTCAGACACAGATAAAGCGCCACGCGCTTTACTCAGTAAACTTTGAAGCTGAGTCACTCTCATATGATAAGGTGTATCCAGAAGCAAGGTGTCATTATGCATAATGATATCGAACGCGACGAAACACGGACGATAAGGTCCGTTCGCCTTTAGAAACTTGACATCAACGTTCATTCCTTTCGTGAGCAACGCTTTCTGTCCTTTGTCCCACACCATCAGTTCGCCGTCCAATATAAATGAAAAACAGTCCGGATCCAGAAAGCGCGCAAATTTACCGGACAGATAGCCTGTTGGCGGATATCGACGGTGTGGATATTAGAGATCGCTACAGCTCTCGTAGAAAAAGAAATTAAAAATATATCCAATCAGTATTTCTGTTTCTTCCTAGTGCGCATCGGTTTCCTGCGACGTACCCAATGACTCGGTCTCCCCTAGTAGAGGTCTCTTCGTTATATCAAATCCATTACGCGTGAAATACGTGTATCTTCCACGGGACATATGGATCTGGGATCTTTCCCCGTCATATTTAACTTGCACATAGTATTGCGCCGGAGTCGAGAAGAGCTTAGGCCCGTCGTCAATATTCAATCTTTCCAAGAGCATCGGTTTGAAATGTGTAAACAGTTGCACGTCCGGTTTCATTCCCAGAGAACTGTGAATCGCAGGCTTATCTTTCACCCATCTAGACCAGCTGGTGCTGCAGGATCCAGTATCGAGAACTTGAAAAAGAATGGATCGATTAACTTTCTAATGCATCAAGACGCGTCAAGATGAATCAAGATACATGGCATTGCATTACTGCACGAAGTTACGAACAGTCCAATATATTTTCCTTTCTTGTGCCGAGATGCAAATCTTTGAGAATGATTCTCGTTAACCACTTCATCTCGAGTCCGGTCATTTGCCTAAGAATTATTCTAAACGACTGGACCTTCTGCTGCTTCGTTGCATCTTTATTGCCGATATCGTCGAGGAACCTATTTACGTCCGCAATCATGACCTTGGTATTCGATTGTCGGGGCAACCATTTTTTTAATATCGAGTAAGCTCGTTCAGCGAAATCATTTCCCTCAAATCTATTTGATGCTATTTTTGGTATGTAATTTCTGAAATATATTTTGTACTTTGCAAGAGACCGTGCGTGAAGATTATTGAAATATGTGTGACAGATGTGAACGCTTGGCCGCAAAAGATTCTTCCACTTGACATTCGAAAACGTACATCAGTGGAATTAAAACAATGAAAAGAAAAATGAGTTGAAACGATTTGGATGATTATATCTCATGATGATTACAATACTAACCGATCACTTATCAAACATTTATAATCGTGACTTTGCTTTGGCAAGGAATATACGTCAGCATAAAGCCTTGCCAACGAAGTAGGTGTTTCCTTGTAATCGTCCGCGAAGTTGGGTAGTATCAATCTAAATATTGGATGCATTATTTCGTCCTAAAACAAAAGAAATAAATCATAATACAAGTTTAAAAGGAAAAGAAAGGAATTGTGGAAATTTAATGGATATTTTCATAACTTTGTATCTAGTTGAGTCCAGTGCAAACACAATTACCGTCGTAACGACGAATTGCGCTGTATTTTCAATTCCAATATTTTCATTTTTTATTGATATAATTTCTGACATAATTATTTTTATAAAAATATTTTGAGCATGTGTTTGGCGTCCTTTTTGCCTCTTTTAAAAAGTAAGTTTTTTTATCATTAAAGTTCCAAAAATATTTCACATATTTCCTCGAGTCAAAAATTAAAATCGAAATTTCTCCCCCAAAAATTGTTATAAAAATTAGATATTATTTCTTTGTTTATACGATATTTTAACGTGTCATAGTACATACCAGTTTACCGTCACTTGCATTTTCCACTTTGTCTGCAATATTTTTACATTTATCGACAAATGTCTCCAAGATTCGTATTTTTTCTTGCTTCAATCTGGATGCTCGGACTTTTTCAAAACTCTCGCACAATTGCATGAACGTAATTGACGTCCCAGTACTGCTGGCCATTGTTCTAAAGCGAAATTATCAAAAGTGTCGTTACTATAACTTTTGTTTACAGGCAAGTTCTTGCGATATATCTCGACCACGTGTAGCGATAACAAAGATAAATGTAAGCACGATAGTGTCGAAGATACACTATCCCAAATTCATTTCTCTCTTAAGTCACTTATGCCACATGTTAAATTTTGTAAACGTCTCGATACTCATATTTGGTGTAGCGTTACTTTATTCAGTCATTTATTCAACTTTATAATTTATTTGAAAGACACAAGCTCTTCGTGTCTTTGTAAAACTAATAATATCATTAAGTATATATACACATATACATTATTACTATATAAGAATAATTATTATTATACTTTATTATTATTCTTATTATATAAGTAATAATCCTATATCGTATTTCTAGTCAGGTATTCTCTTGCAATATTTCTCGCTCAAATCGTGATGTAATTCTCGAGATACATTCTAGCGAGGAGTTGATTCTCGGACTGCAGATATATGAGATGTAAATTGAAAGCCGCTTCTTTCCTCAGATCCAAAAGATTCGCATTCTGCTTGACCAAGTCTCCCGGGTCCTCTTCCAGAATCAACTTGTAGAAATGAATCGCGGTCGACAGCAGACCGATCTGATGAAACGCCCTCGCCGTGTTGTAATACGCTTCTTGTTTACCTTCGTCGCCGCGTAGCTGCATGTATTTCTTGAAGAAAGCCAAAGCTGCATAAAAGTAGAAAAACGAGCGATGAAGCACAGAGACGTATCGCACTTTATTGTCAAGAAAGAAAAAGAAGACAGATGTTGGACGGGTCAATTAGTTTTTGCGCGAGTAGATGCACGGTGTTACCTTGAATCAAGAGCTGATTCTTCTTCGCCGGTGACTTCTGGCAGGCCATCTGCAACTGCGTTACACCAATCAGGAGCGCCAGCAACGCGCTGGGCGCTACCTTGAACAGGGAAATGTACGAGTTCAAGGCGTACTTGTACGTTCCCGAGACGAGGCAATTGTTCGCGTGCATGATATGCAGATACGTGAAGACGTCCTCCCTTCCGAGCAGCCGCATTATAAACCTGTTGTGCCGGAGATCCTCCGCCTTCTGGATTATGATGTTCAGCAGGTTCCACCAGTTCGAGCTCGGGCACTCGCGCACGAATTCCCGCACGATATTGTAGCCGTAGAACGAGTCGTTGTTGTGAATGCACGAGATCAAGCAGAGGAAGGTTATGTGGTCGTTGCACTTGATGAATCTCTTCGAGGTAAGAGCGGTGAAGCATATCCTCTGAAGGAAGCCGTGTTTCTTCAGCTTGTACGCTTGCTCGCACATCTGCAGGAAGAGCTGGAATTCATCCTCCTTGCTCGGCTCGGCGCTGTTGCTGAAGGCCGGGGCGTTCTCGTCCTCGAAATTCTCCCCGAAGGTCCGGCGATTATTCCGCAGACTTTCGAGACGTTGACGAACGCCGGTCGGCCGCGCCAACGAGTTCAGGTCGTCCTTGATCCTTATGCGCACGCAGTGCCTCGACAGAAGCAACATACCCGATGACAAGTATTCCTCGTATCGCTCCATTTTGTACAGCAACACCGTCCTCTGGTACACCGCGTTGGGGTCCAATATTTCGTACTCGGGATCTTGGTAGAGAACCTGTATCGCCTCGTCATACCGTCTCTTTTCTATGTAGAGCTTGGCCAGAGCCAGCCTCGCGCCTAAATGCTGCGGCGACAATTCCCGGACAGCTTCGTACGACGTCACCGCCTTGTCCAGGTCGTTGCAGGCGGCCCAGCATTCCGCGTGCTTCAGCCAGACCCCGGCCAGGTTGTACCTCGTGCTTTTCACCAGGGGATCCAGTAGATTCAACGCGCGTTGAAACTCGTTCTTGCTCATCAGCGCCTCCGCCACGTCCAAGAAGAGATCCCCGGAACACTCCGGGTCCTCGCGCATGTAAAGTCTCGACAGGAATTCGTCGGCCAGTCGGACGTGATTCAATTCTATCAGAATCACGAGGGTCTTCGCTCTCAGATCGACGGCCACGTCGTCCGGTACATCGCACCACTCGATGTCATTGGTGTCCCGATGATCCGATTGGCACGGGAGTTCCTCCTTCAACTTGCCGGACTCTTCCGTCTTCTCGAGTTTCCTCATTCTGTCGTTCCCCACTTCTCTGTCCGCCCCCTCCTTGTATTGTATTCGAATGCTCGTGTACTTGACCAGTAGATCCAGGCATCTCTTGAATTGCTTCAGCGTTATCAACAATTCGGTTATGATGTTGACCTCTTCCAAAGTGATGAGATCGGGACACTTGGCGAAGAGAATCTCCATCGCTTCCAACGCCTGTTCGTTGTTGTTCTCTTTAATGTACTCTTGGGTCAACTCCTTGGCGTATTTGATTATGTGCTGGTCTCCGGGATCCAACTGATGTATCAGCTTCAGGTATCCGCGCAGCTGCCCTTTCCTGTCCCCGTTACTTTCCTGGAGCTGGGCTCGCCTGTCGTACAGCTCCACGCACTTCGGGCTCGCTTGGATAGCTTTCGAGTAGCACGTTATGGCTTGCTTTATATCGTCGTTCTCCAGCGACAAGTTGGCCAATCTTACCCACTGTTCGGCGTCTCTGGGGTTGAGGTACGCAGCGATCAGGGCGAATTGCAACGACTTTTTCTGATCGTTCTCGTATATCATCGCTAGCGTTTGGAATGGCTCGGAGGCGCTCGGCACTTGCCTAAGGGAAACGATCAGGTCAGTGTCGAAGCGTCTCGAGGCTCGAAGGAGCTGCCTCGAGCAGAGTTTCGTCTACCAGAGCGGAAACTCGAATTGAACGCGGTATCGACCGCGATGTACACTAAGAACTCACCTGATGATCTCCATACACATCTGCTCGGCTATCTCCACCTCTCCTTTCGCGAATCTCACGTTTGCCTCTCCCATAAGTCCTTGTAAAACCTGCGGCAAGATACGTCTCTTCCTCCTTTGTCGCACCTGCTGACCGCTAGTCACTTTGCTCGCCTTCGGCTCGGCAAGTTTCTGCACGGTGACCCGATCAGTCCCAGCGTTTCTTCTAAGAGTGGGACGAAATGTAAGTTTTTTCATTACGTCAGGATATCTGGTCTTTCTCGCACGGAAAACGGTCTCTTCGGATCCAGTATGCATACTTGTGTGATTTCAACTCGCTCGATTCGAACAACATAATTTTACATCACATATATAATTTTTCAGTGGGAATTTTGTTTAGTGAAAATTTCACCTAATATATATTCGCTAATATACAGGGATTTACCAATACAATGGAATCTTTGGAAAACGAAGCAATTTGCAGAAAAGTGGTTCAGACAAAAGTTGCGAGGTTTAAAGGGGAACATAATTCTGTAACCTTAGTTTTTTTTTTTTTAATACAAATAAACTGCTCTGTTCGTTCTGCGTACAAAAATACTAGGATAAAATCATCGAAAAGTGAATATTTTTTAGAGTTATTTTACTTTTTATGAAAGTGTAAACATTTTTCGAAATATTTCACTTTTTACCTTAATATTTTTTCTAGTACGAAAGATATGAAATATCTCATAAAATGTTTACTTCTCAGTAACATCATCTTAACATATTTGTACGTAGGACAGTAAGTGGAATCGATCGCTGTAAGCGAACTTTAAAAAAAATTCATTGCATTTTGCAAATGCACCGATGCACCAATGTGCAATGATCAATATCAGTAATCAATTTCTCTCATGTTATTATGTAGAAAAATATCGAATGCGATATAAAAAGGAATGATTAACATAAGGCATAAACATGTCAGAGTCCATCGATATTTGTCCGATCATTGAAGTTATAAGCAACTGAAAGCTGTAGTCAGTAAAAGGACAAGTAAGCATACACGGAATGGATGGAAGTATTTAGATGAAGGAATCACAGGATGGAAGGTCCACGATGAAATGAAGTGAAAATTTCACCTAATATATATTCTGTAACCTTAGTTTTGTTGAAACAGTTAGACTGTTTCTTGAAATTATACAAATAAGCGGTCGAATTTTTGTTTAGTAAAATGAGAAAATTAAGTGAGCTCGTTTCTTTTTATATTTTTTTAAATTTCTTTGAACTCGAAGGAAGATTTACTATAAATCCAAAGAAACCCTTTTCTCTGTGTAATCATACCTGACAGTATTATTCTCTGTCATCTCCATTTCTACATCCTGGTCCATTTTCGACGAATATTCGCAAAATGTTAGCTCTCCATTCAAGAACTGTTTCGTCAGACGATCTTCTTCGTCCGCAGTGAGCAACATATCCTGGTCCAGATCCGTATCCATTACAACATCCTTGTTTAAATTATGCGACGACGTGAGCGCGAAATTTGGAATAATAACATTTTCTACTTCTACTTCTTGTATCGGTAACGCTTTGGCTTCGACAAATTCGCTCATATCAACGTCCATCATGCTGATAGCATCCTCGTCCAGTTCTTCTATTATCACTGGCGCCACAGTGCTATTATCGCTAATAATTAACTCGCTATTGACATCCATCGTGGCTTTCTCGGGTGTATCTGCGTCGACACTTTCTTCACTCGCATCAGATTCCATTTCAGTTTCCTACGATGTGCACATTTTGGTCGATCTGACACGCACGAACTCGGTACGGATAAAATACTATCCCATAAAAATTAATAAAAGTGCATAAAAAATTCGTTACAAATATATTACTTCTCGAGAAATTTGCGTTTTCTTTCTTTATATCTCTTCGAGTCTGATTATTTTCCTTAACGTAATCTGGTCTAACCTTACCTAATTTCTTAAATCTACATAAATCTAATTTCTCTGTATTCCACTGACAAGTTGCAATGTTGTTTTTATTAGGTGCCATATTAATTTAATACTGCACTAAGATCGGTCATATTTGTGCTCAGTGCTGCACGAAGAATATTGCACTCGCATAATATCGAGGCAACAGCAAACGAGTAGGTGTACATCACTAGTATGTCATAACTTAACCAATTGTAATATTTTACCAAGTTTTATCAAGTAAACTTTGTTATAGCTACACGTTATACGTTACAAGAATCAACAAGACAAAATAATAATGCGCTGAAACAACATAAACATTTATAAACAGTTAACAGAATTTACCTGTTGTACGATGATCGGACAATTTAATGGTTTAAATTCAGTAAAAATCGCCAAGATAGAACCATATGAAGCTGATCATCGATTGACGATGAGGTTATGTTTATTTTTCTTCTCACATAACACCTACACACTGATCTGCACGGTGGCATGCACTAAAATAATATGACGAAAAAATAAAGCCAATACAGAGCTGGTATTATATTACTAGGATATCGAGGGAAAAATTTAGGGACCTTCTTTATCCAACAGCCAATCGGCATATCCGACAATGTTCGTCGTACGACGCATGTAATAAGTGCGTTCAGCGGAAAAAGCGATCAGTAAGCAGTCATTGGTAATTGGTTTTTACCGTTATATCGCTAAATTTAAATCAATTATGTTGACGAATTACTCCGTTGTGCAACCGTTGTGTTTCTGAACGCAACCAATAGTTACGTTGAACAAAAAAAACAGCTTTCTGATTGGTGTATGCTCTTGATCATGATTGAATCTAAAAGCATACAATCGGATTTATGAATTTACAATAGCAATTTTGCAAAGCTGTTTTTTCTGCTGAACGTAACCAATATTAGCCGAAAACTGGAAGCTTGCGGTAAATATGGTCATTCTCGGCGGGAAATTTAAAATAACTTTTAATTGCAGATATTATTACAAAAAAATCTTTTTGAAAATTATAATCCATATTCTCAACTTATTTTTGTTGATAAAATTGGCTTAAAACGTACATTTAAGGTATTTTTATTGATAAAATAAGTTCAAAATATGGACCTTGATCTTTGAAAATGTAAAATTTATATAATGTGCAAATTATATCAGAGAAAAATAAAAACAAATAAAATAGAAAAAGATAAAGACGAACAATCGTGTGCAAGCACAGGTGTACATGAATAGAGAAGTAAAAAAAAAGCTCAATATGCGCAATTTTTACTTAATTTATTAAACAAAAATTCCAAGTTAATAATTCATTATAACGTCATAAAGTAATGTTATAATGTTTATATAACTCGGGACATATCTCTATATCTGGAAACCTGTAAAAATAAACATGCTCCACATGTTTTTGTTATAACGTAATATATCGTACATAGCAGAAATGTCCAAAATATATCATAAGGATATCCTAAAGATATCGCGATATCCATATGATATATTTTGAAAATTTCTGCTGTGTGGGATTGTTCTGCTTGTTACTACTTTACATTCATAATTATTCATTCATTATTCATTCATGATTGTTGATCGTA